ACTGTGGACCTGTCGTCTGACAGATTACTGGTGATGATGATGATATTATGTACATATTATTAATTTCCACGGATCCATGGATGCCCAATGAAGATGTTTTTTTTTTGGCTGTCAACAAATTTATAAAAAATTAAACCAGTCTAATATTACTGTGTTACATTGGTTTAATTTAGTGATTGCTACATCTTTCAATCTACATTTGGATCACCATCAGGCATTATTCTTAAATATGTCACCCATTAATGAATTATTCTAATATAGATCCGTACTGGTATTAATTGCTATAATTATTATGACACATGTAATTCTGGCTTTAAAAATATTTTGGCCAAAATTACATGTCTTATAGCAGTTCTAACAATTAACAATAACATGGATCAACATTAGGATAATTCAATAATGAGAGATATATTTAAGAATGCTGCCTGACGATGATCCAAAACATGTAGCAGTCACTAAATAAAGGAAACCAATGTAATGTAACACAGTGATATTAGATTTGTTTCATTTTTATTAAATTTATCTTGACGGCTCCTCTCCCCCCAAAACCCACATCATGACAAACAACAGGATGCAAACAATAAAGATAGCCCATGAAGCTTAGTGTCTTCTGGGATGTGCAGAGGGTCTGCTAGGGATTCTTGATAAGCTGAACAACAATGAGATTCACAAAGAACACTGTGCTGCATTTAGTTAGTTAGTTTATAAGCTAAGAATGACCACAAATTTTTAAAGAGAAATTTGAAAAGAGTAAGTTATAATCAAACAGAATGAACACCTGAAGCAACTGTACATGTGCACATATCGAGTATACAGTCTCATGCATACATGTCAAGATGGTAAGATCTAAAAGGTCATGTAATATGTTAATACAATTATTGACTTTCTGGACATTATCCATCACCCCTTTTCTTAATAACGTTAAAGAGACTGGATTCTTCCTCTATCCTCAGGTAATAGGCCCACTCAGTTGGGTTCAATCACCAGAGCCAGTCCCTATATGGGAATATGGATAATGTTAAAAAAAGTCAATAATTGTATGTCTAGATGAATTATGTAAAGGAACGTACCTCATTGAAGAAAGCAGTCTTCTGGGATTTGGCACCGTGAATATGTGTGGTGTTAACCGACGTTCCAGAGGAATGTATCGCCTCCATCTTCATGGTAGAAGGAAAAATATTAGTAATCCGCAAGCGAAGAGACCGTGAGAACCGGTAAAAGCAGACTGCTTTTACCAGTTCTCACGGTATCTTCGCTTGCGGATTACTAATATTTTTCCTTCTACCATGAAGATGGAGGCGATACATTCCTCTGGNTGAGGTACGTTCCTTTACATAATTCATCTAGACATACAATTATTGACTTTTTTTAACATTGTGAAAACCTCAAATCTTACATAATGTACCTCATTGTTGGTGGGGGAGGTGGTGGAGACTCATCTTGTCTAATGGGTTCCTTTTTGATGGTGCCTGCATTCCCCTGAGGCAACACTTTCTGTGGTTGAGGCTGCTGCAACTGCTGTGGGGGTTGCTGCTTCGATGCATTGGGTGCTCGTGTTTCCCTAGTCTTTGCAGCTCGCTTGATACGTTCTTCTAACAGTGATAAATCTTTGTCTGAAATCTACAGATGTACATTTACAAACACTACAAGATGTCTTTATGAAAGAAACAAACTGAATAAGTCACAGATTTCAGCTAAGAGAGCATGCTGGATATAAACCAAGTTCTTTATGCCCAAGGCTAAACAAAATTTACCACATTTTTAATTACCGACTCTGGGAGGTATACATATAAAATAATTTTATATTTCCTAACAGGAAATATCACCATTTTTACACTGTGATATCATTTGTTTTACAGTAACATACTAACATTTTATTGATGCCAAATAGAACCTCATACAAGAACCTTCCAGTCATTAGAGATAGCGAAATTTATGTATGGACATTCAAGTAAGTCAATCTCAGCATATTAAGCAGCATTTCTGAACCACTTTCAGTCAACATATTCCTTGGTGAAACTTCATGTACAGACAGTTAATTCAACATCAATGCAAAGAGCAAAGAACCTTGTCGCCCCTCCAATATTCTGTTTGTGTTCAGCACCTAGAGAAAATAATATTTGCAAATTTAAGGCCCCCTAAACCTAACAGTTTTTATGACATTAAGTGCCAAATTTATTTCAATTTCGTAGAAACTTCTAATTTTGATGGCTGTATTTCTGGAACCAACTGTGGTAGAAAGATTAATGAGGGTTCATCCAAAGCTAATTTCATGCCCTTTGCAATAGTGGGTATTGCATATTTATTATTTCATATATAACTGGAGATGTGGATTTTTCTAAATTTCACCAACTTCCCCACCACTGAACAAAACGTCTCAAAATATATTATTTGTTTCCATGCTAACAAAACAGAGCTTTCTACTTAGTAGTTGCTAGATCAGCTGATTGGCCATGCAGTCTAAGGAATGAATCTGTCTTCACTTGCTCAAATGCTAGGATCATGGGTTCAAATCCCACTAGAGGCATGGATGTCTGTGTGTTCATTCTGTGTTTGTGCTGTTCTCTGTCAGTAGCGGCCTTGCAATGGGCTGATCCCCTGTCCAAGGAGTCCTATCAACTGTATATAGGATTAAGAAACTGAATATGTGGCCAAGCTCCAACAAAGGATCATAGAGCCACAGACAGATAGTTGCTAGATGAGAAGTATCTGGTATCCTGATCAGAGTTTATGCATTACACAGTGAGCCTTCCAGTCCAGTTCCATCCTCAGCCGATGTGTGCAGCTTTGGAGTGTGTTGTATCTCATGAATAATGACCTCAGTCCTACCTGGCTCTGCTGTGAGAATAATTCATCCTTTGGCTATATGTTTCAAAGAAGATGTAAGCTAGTTCTTTCCAATACACAGTCTCTAAATGCTGGAAGATAAATATTTCTGCATAATTTAAAGGTACGCACAATGCAGTCTTAAATTTGATGCCAAATATCCTAAAAACTATTAGGCCTACGAGTCTCAAACTTTGCAAAGATTATTTCCTCCACATGCTCTACAAGTATTAGAAACTGCACACACACAAATAAAGGAAGCATGCCAATTTCCGATCCTTTTTGTCAAATTTGATATGGAATCACCTGTACCTCTGTTCAGTAGTAACTTATATCTTATTTCAAGCTACATGCTATGATGCATCATAAGCACAAGATAAAGAGATTTTCTCATTTTAAAGCAACTTTTTATTCCATGCACAAAAAGAAGTTGTGAAACAAATGTCAACTTTATTTATGCCCTTTTGAAACATGACTGACAATATATGAAATATACCTAACATCCCCTTTATGAGGCTTCATGAACTGATAATTCAGAATCACTGTCACAAGGCATGAACACTCAGTTTTGTTCATCACATACCACTAGCCACTGTATTATGGAAAAAATATATATCTAAGGAAGGTGTAATTACTGCTCTATACTGATAAAATTTAAGTGCAAATTACCTGTCCAATAAATTTGTACACTTTTTCTTGTACAATGAAGTATGCTTGTACGACACAGTTGAGTGCAGCATTTCTCACAGAATTATCACGGTCAGAAATCTGTCGAGCTATTTCCTTTAAGGCAGCACTGGGGTTTGGTTGGCAAACTGTCACTCCATAGCTTTCAATTAGGGAACCAAGTTGCTCAAGGCACTCTGAAAAAAAGAAAATCTAGTCATTATAATATCACCCATCTAGGATACTTTACAATCTGAAATCCTGTCTGAAAGTTATTTACCAGTGCGCTGCCTTGCATTCTTTGACTTCAAGCCTTCCATCACATATGCAAAAAGTTTTGTAGCTGGATACACTTGTTCAGTTTGCCTAATCAATGCTCGGACACCATTCCGAACAGCATCCTTAGGATCTCCAATCTGTTAACACCCACAGCAATCAAGTTTATAATACTGAATCCTATTATTAGACATTATTTGAATGAAGTGCATAAACATTAATGTTACTTACCTGAACTAAAATGAATACAAAAATTCTCAATACTATTTAAACTACAGAGTAAAACAAAAACACTCAACAGAAGTATCAATATTTTGCATTTTTAACCTTCAGAATGAGATATGGAATGAAAGATGAGGCCTCATTCTCAAACATGTTGTATTCCTCTTCAATCAGCATGGCAAACACAGTCTGCAAATACTCAAGACCTTTCAATAAGACTGATGGATTCGTATCAAAGAATCGTAGGGTCATCCATTTCAAAATCAAATCCAAGTTGGCAATTGTGGCACTTCCATTATTGGGCAAGTCCTGAAATAAAAATGCAGTATCATCACAGCCAACAGTCTCCAACATAAAATCATTTTAAAATTAATTTAATGTATAAGATTATTCAAGCACTCGTTCAAAATTTTGTACCTCTTTGTGTTCTTAAAAATGTGAACAGTCTACACAACAGTATTACAAAGGCTGGTAAGTCTTCCTTGTTAATTTGATATTCACCCTTGCACTGTACGAAAAAAACCCATGAACACATGTATATTCTAGGTGCTTTTGAATCTTTCTATTCTTACTCACTTAACATGAACTTTATAATTCTGAGATCAGCAAAACAATCCAATCAGACGGAATGTCACAATTGGGCAGGCAGCACTCTTGCTTCATATTTATGAGGTTCCAAGTTCAAATTTTGAGCAGAAGACCAGCTGCTCTGAGGTTTAAGTGGTATTTCTCAGTCCCTTCAGGCAAATACTAGGACAATATCTTAAATCATACCACAATTACAACTTCAATAATTTCTCTTTAAGATCATGGTCTTCTGAGATGTGATGCTGCATTGTTTGAGATATGAACCAACGTTTCAGAGGCAACTGCTGCATTTAACTTCAGGGTACAAGTCTACAAATGGGACCCTATCCTCCACACATAGCATTTCACTGCTTTGAAGTGTGCTGTTACATATTAAAATTGAAATACTTTTCCTTAAGCTTATTCATCTGAAATGTGATGTCACAAAGTATGGTAGATGAATACCAACATTTTGGAAGACACTGCTTCCTCCATCTTCATGGTAGTGTATCTACTCAGAACATGGAGGCAGCAAGTTTCTCTTGAACATTGTACCTATCTACCACACTACACAGCAGACATCAAAGAAAGCCATAACCTTAACATTAACTGTCATGAGAACCTCAAATATTTTTTCCTTTATATCTAATAAACACAACTCACAGAAACACAAAATTCCTTCAAGAACATATTCATCTTGCACACATATTCTATACAAATCTCATTCATTTGCACCAAAATAAGACACCTGCTGACTGCATTATGAAAATGCAACTGCATTCTACAGCCAACATAAGGAAAAGCTAATAATCAATCACTGTCTGCAGAATCTTACATTTTAGCCAATACTGAAAATATATTCCCATTATACAGTTTTCAACCAGTAGTAAATATACAATCTCATACTGGATAGTTACCTTCTTTCAAACAATTCAAATATGCACAGACAAATTTCACATGTTTGACAAAACCTTACTTACCTCACTTAGAGCATCAATTGCCTTAAGATGGAATTTGAAGTCTAAATGGAACATATTTGCCATAAGTGTTTTATTTACATTAGCAACTGTCATCTGCTCTCTCAGCAAATCCACAAATTCTTCTCTTGGAGTTGTAAAGTTCCACTTTAAAACCTGAAAATAAAAATGTCACAATATGTAAAATGTAAAAAAAAAAGTAAAGCTATCCCTGTAACAGGCCGTGAAGGCCCATAGGGTTGTGAGATGTTGAGGGTCCCACATTATTTAAACAATCGGCTCAAAGATGGCAGTAAGGTTGTCAGCCTTACGTGCCCGCCACGCTTTGCTCCCTAAGAAAATTATTTAATTAATCCCTGGTACTCATTTCTGTTAGAGACTGAGTTGGCCCTGTGGCCATAGTGCAGCTAGAAGGATTAGGTAAATTGAAAAAATCCAATGACCTCATTGGGACTTGAACCCGCGACTTTCTGGCTTGTAGCAGTGCCTCAACCAGCTACACTACCACGTTCCCCGTCACAATATGACACAATGGAAATACACAATCATACCACATATGAGTATTTCATCATGTACCAGCTGAATGTGTATTGTATTAAAAACTTACCTTCAGCTTCTGCTCATCAACTGACCGCTGATTTTTTAAGTTGTTATTCTGAAGAAGAGGGGATGTATCCACATCCTCATCCTTTTTACGACCACTTGGTTTAGACGCTCCACCAACAATCTTAAAAGAAACTATCCTTATAGCCACCATAACATTCTGTCACTGCACACAGAATACGGGAACACAAATTCCATATAAAAACCATGACCCGAAACCCTGAAGTAAACTAATGCTTCCTTCATGATTCTGCCTCTCCAAGTTATCATCCATAAAAATCTTTTTATATCCTGAGCTACATTTATGATTCTGTATTTCAGCATCCCATTGCAATTGTTCAAATTAGCGTCCACTGTTTATCTTCCGTCAAAATTGCAACACTTCTACATTCTACACTTCAACACTACATGTTTCGGCCTCAAACGGCCATCTTCAGGAGTTTTTATGTTATAGATATTTTATTTAAACTGTGATAAAACTGCTACACTGTTTTTAATTCATGTTAAAATCATACGCTGTAGTCTTCTTAAGTAAAACGAGATAAAATCCTTTAAAATTTCTGTTGATTATTATTTCACCCCACCCAGGGTGTCGTAATTTTCGTAAATGTATCAAGGTGTTTTTCTCGGCAGCTTGCCCCTCATGTTCGTGGTCTACTTTCAGTTTATGACTAGTAAAGACAACACCACGCGCTGTGGAGGAAGCACACACAAACCAGGAGCATATGGCAGTCAAAAACTGAAAGTAGACCACGAACGTGAGGGGCAAGCTGCCGAGAAAAACACCTTGATACATTTACGAAAATGATGACACTCTGGGTTGGGTGAAATAATATGCAACAGAAATTTTAAAGGACTTTTTCTCGTTTTACTTAAGAAGACTACAACGTGTGATTTTAACACGAATTAAAACAGTGTAGCAGTTTTGAACACAGTTTTAGTAAAATATCTGTAACATAAAAACACCTGAAGATGGCCGTTTGAGGCCGAAACACATAGTGTTGAAGTGCAGAATGTAAAAGTGTTGCAATTTTGACAGAAGATAAACAATGGACGCTAATCTGAGCTACATTACTTCAACAGGTGATATATTAGATCACTGAAGAATCAATTAAACTATACAAATGACCTAATAATAATTTAACTAGTAAGACTATGGTCTTCTGGGATGTGATGCTATGTGGTTTGGCAGACAGGTACCCTAATTTTGGTGGAACATGCTCTCTCCATCTTCAGGATCCTTATTGAAGAATTAGATGCAAACAGTTAGATGTAATTCAACAACTGAGACTGGTATCATTGTACGCCTGGTGATGACCCACCCATACACATAAGAATCTGGCTCGGCGAGCTTGACTTGAGAGCCAGGCTCGGATTAATATCACCACAAACGAATGAGCTGACTCCCAACTTTGCAACCCACACAGGGACAAGTTTAGCTCATTGGAACCCGAGCCGAGTCGAACTCGTGAGCCAGACTCGTATGTGTTCCAACCCTTAAGGGGTTGGAACATGTAGCGTCAAAACAACAAATGTTGATACAATAGTGTCTACTTCGTTTTTAAATACAGAATATTATTGTGTAGACTGCATACTTTTATACACATTTATATACCCTTTTCAGGATACCTACCTACCAAACTACACAGCATCAGAATCTTCAAAACTCACTTCCATAAGAATCTCATTTGATCACCATTTCAAAGGCAACAGTTTCTCATGAACTGCATGCAGAACACACTGCAAAGAGTCTGACCTGCAAAATGTCACAAAACTCACTTTGCCTTTAGGTGCATTCTTTCCAGAGGCGGCTCTGGCACCCCCACTCCTCACAACCTTGTTTGGCTCCATATCGTCATCAACAGCAACGGGCATTCCTGTCTTTTTTGGTGGCACAGGTTTGTCTGGTAGATTAGGACGAGCCTTATCAAGGATTGCAATGATGACAGTGCGAGATCCAGTCTGTTAAGAAAACATATTGCATTAGTGATGAAGCAGCAGGCAAGCAACCGGTCATATACCAATCACTAAGATTATCTAGTATTACTGTAACAAAAATTGACAGCTTATATGTATTTAATTAATATGAGGCTAAAGTGATGTTACCCTATGCACACTGTGAAGACACAGTGGATGCATCTAGACATCTGTACACATGACTGAACAATGCCATCACTGCCATAATTATCCAAATCAATATTATTCATGCCTCCTTGGGCTCACAGTCCCACCACTCTTCATACAGAAACGTGGTGCTGGCTTACTTGCAAATATATAGTATTTGCAATTCATATATGGGAAAACATCCTATACAGCATTTAAGGTCAAAGCCTTCAGAAGTAGTTGCACAAACATGTTTTAAATTAAAGAATTTAATTATATAATAAACACAGCAAACTTGCCTTCAGCCTCTCTGTAGCTTTGGCCATTGTTACATATCCCAAATGCATCATGAATGGAAGAATCGCTTCCTGGGCATTCTTCCTAACATCCACATTGCGATCCTCCACATTTGCATACAAATGTGGCAAACATATCAACAATTCTTCCTTAGGTATAGTCCTAGGTGGCACTGAAAAACACAAATTAGCGCCAAATAGTCTCTTCTAGTTTTATAAAATTTCCCTCCCACTCAACCCAAATAGAGCAAAACCCCTATTCAATGTCCATCTTAAGGATAAGTTTTTGTATTTTAAATGTGAGTTTTTGAAGGCAGGATCCTAAAATTACTTCTTAACTTCTTACTTAAACTTTGTTCATTTTAAAAATAAAAATAATAAGTACCAGGAATGACATGAGTATATACAGAAACACAACAGTTTACTTAACTACAGCAACAATATCACAAACTGCAATTTCAAACACAGACTGTATTACATAGCACAACTTTCCACAAAATTTCAATAACACATCATACATCTTTTTAGCTATCCCTGTAATAGGCTGTGGAGGCCCACAGGGTTGTGAGACATCGAGGCTCCCACATTTTCTTTGACAATTGGCTCGAATATGGTGGTGAGGTTGTCAGCCTTACGCACTGACCACACTCTAACTTCAGGAAGATTCCTGGTACTCATTTCTGCTAGAGGCTGAGTCAATCGAAGGGCTACAGAGCAGCTGGAAAGGTTAGGTCAATTTAAAAAACCAATGACCTCATTGGGAATTGAACCTGTGACCTTCCAGCTTGCAACACAATGCCTCAACTAACTACACTACCACGTGCCCCCACACACCACATATCATACAGTACAAAATATAAATCTAGGGCCATGCTGTGTTGTTGTATAACAACACAGCATGGCCTGAACAACTGGATGACACTAAAGGGTCCTGTTCTTCAAACAACGGAACCACGACATGGTAGACACTCATCTTCCTTTAAAGAGAAGCAGTATAAAGGACATGAACCAAACTAGTTCTAGATTTTAACAAAGTTTTCTAAACCATACTTGTAAATAGACTAATTATAATAATTTTTAAATATTTTAATAAATTCATGCACATTAATGTAATTGTTAAAGGCTAATATTTTATATTCATGACACTGTAATAGTAGTGCCTGCATGTATTGATAATGACCAGTGACATTGTAATTGTAGTTTCTGCAAGTACTGATATCTCATTCTGAAGATGGTCACTTTGACTGAAACATGTAAAGAATGAAAGATTAGAAAAAGAAGAAAAACATTTATCAGTCACACTGTACGGTATTAATAATCTTTAAGAACAGGATGGTTTAGCCCGATACTAGACAACATCAGGAACATGGGAAAGAGTTGTAACCTATACACCTGTGTGGCAGCAGCTCATAACAACGCTGGCATTACCAACACCATTACTGATTTCATTCTTATTAATGAGGTCTCTCGATATTGCCACAATGAATAGTATTGTGGCATGTTTGCCAAATGCAAGAACCATGAAGCCAGTAAAGATAGCCATTACTAGGGAACAGCTCTGCAAACATGCCCATTGCTAGGCAACAGTTTTGTAAGCATGCAACAATACCAGAGCCATCACTAAGCAATGTGCCCATGCAACAATGGAGAAACTGTTGACAGAGGCATTTTCTGTGGGCTGAAACCAAGACTATATGACAGCGACCAGCTGTCATTACAAAAGAGTGAGTCAGTTACCTGTGTTGAGGCAGGTTCAAATACCTCCACCATGACGCTGCGAGTTGTAGGAGGCGACAAAATAGGAAGTCTCAAATCTGAGACACTAAAATATGATTGCAAGTGCCAAGGGACTTGGACCCAAGAAAAACTGCGCTGGCAAGGGCCAGCTGCACATACAAAAGACAGACCAGTCCTCTCATCAGAAAGGATGCCCCCACAAAAACAAGACCATAACTGTCAAACAGTAATAAATATCTTCAACACCAAGACTTACATACTGACTCACTGTCAGTTTCAATGTGACTTTGACTTTGAATATAAAAAAAGAGTCTTGAGAGAGGAGTTACAAGAGTATGAGGTTGGTGTCAGATGGCTGTCAGCACGAGTGAGTTGAGAGATGCAGAAGCTGGAAGCTGAGGCCAGATATAGTTCAGGAACCCACAGGAAGGCAAACATCTGCCATTGGAAGCTGCTATTAAGTAGTGTAGTGAAGACCATGACTGAGAACACTAGTCTGTGTGTGAGTGATATGTAAGTGTTGTCATGAGTTTTGTGGTAAAGTGTCCAATAAATCCAATTACCAAACCGAATCCCATCTATAGTTACTCAATCTCATGACAGTATGTTCTTTACACTTACATGTAGGAAGTTTCTCTGCAAGCCATGCCCATAATTCTATTCGTAAAGCTGGGTTCCCAGATTTGAGGGCATCTCCAATCATTTCTCCATCAAAGAATTCTTTGAAACCACAGTGGTCACCCCAGGTATTGATACATGCTGCTGCCGCGGTGCGGATCCAAGGCTGAAATAGATAAAAAGTCTCTGTTTAAAATTTTATATACAATCATGAGCAGGGTAAAAGCTCTTTTAGATAATGAAATTTCCCAATGACTTTCCCAGATTTCTTAGCCTACTTTCCTAAAGCAGACTTATACAATCTCCACAGTTTGTGTGTGAGTCCCCCATATTAATTTTTGAATGGCTGAACCAATCTTCCTGAAACTTGGTATGTATATCATGGCATCATGGCAATTGAGCCCACCTCAACAGCGTACTTGACAAAACCCTACCATCATCCCATGTGTCTGCACAAATATTCATCCTACCATTGCTCAGCAAAGGCATGATAACACGTACCTGCAGCAACAAATAAATGCAACAGTAGAAGAACTGTTGGACAGGTGTCTGTGGGTTTGTGTGTGTATACCCCTATCATTGCTAGGTAACAACTTGGTAATGTTCCCATGGCAAACAAAGAATTGCTGGAGGCATTTTCTATGCAGTCTGTGTCATAAATAATATCAAAGGAAAGTAGACAATTAGTTCTTCCCTTGAACTTCTTGTTAATTTAAGTAAATTCATACATAACTCTATTCATATTTTATATAAAAGACTTCAATAAAAGAAAAGCAAGAAGAAAGCAGTCTTCTAGGATGTGGCACCATGTAGATACTGTATTAACCGATGTTTCAGAGGAACGTATTGCCTCCATCTTCAGGGTAGAAGAAAAGAGAAGAAAAATCCGCAAGGAACCAGCATGAGCAGGTGCTGACAGACTAATGTTGAGTCGAATAAACTCAGCTGTATAAGAGCAGGAAGAGAAGGGAGAGGGGGTTACGTGGGAAAAGTAGAGAGGAGAAGGGAAGGGTCTGGGGAGGTGGGCCAGCAGACAGCAGGGTAGAGCATGTGTAGAATATTGTGTCAGGGGAGAGAGGCAAGGTAATTGGAGGGCATTAACCCTTAAGCTTCGGGGTTGCTATGCGAGTCGGTCATGGACTTGCATGGCCTTGTGGATCTGTCGTCATGTCCTGGAGGTTTCTTGAGAGAACAGATGAGAGGCTACATGACTTTCTGAGGCAAAACCCCACCTCTCTGTTCATATTGTTGGGATGGAGTTCAAACTCAATGGCCTCCCTAATGATGCAATCCATATAATGAGTCTTGGTGGCAAGGATGGAGGTATTCTGAAGCTGAATGCAGTGTCCCAAATTGGTGCTGTGTTCAGCCACAGCTGACTTGTCCGGATGTTCGAGACAGATGTGCCACTGCTGCTCCTTCAACCGCGTGTCCATGGAATGGCCCGTCTACCCAATATAGACCTTGCTGCACTCACAGGGGATTCTGTATACACCTGGTATCCTTAGTCCTAGACTATCTTTGACTGGCCGGAGGAAACTAGATAATTTCTTTGGAGGCAGGCCCACTGATTTGATGTTGTGCTGGGACAGCACTCTGCTGATTTGACTGAATATAGTCCTGATGTAGGGCAGGAAAGTGGCTGAATCTGGTTTACTGTCAAGTCGACTGATGTTCAGATGACGGTTGAGAACTCCATGGATCTACCGGTTGTTGTAACCATTCTCCTGAACATGTCCCCCAGGAGCACCAACTCCACATGTACGCTGTCTTGATCACATAGAGCTCTAGCCCTGTGCACCAATGTGGAAAGTGGCAATTATGACCCCACAACCAGCATGGCTTCAGGGCATGCCCAGTATGTGATAATAACACTCACCAACAATTATGGTTGTACAGTAAATTTCCAGCAGAGAGAAACATGAATACTGGTTGTTTCAAACACAAGTACATTAAACTGAGGTAGAAGTTCTGGAAAGTAAAACTTTCTTACAAAAAGTTATTTATGAAAAAATACAGTAGAATACTGATTCTCCAAATTAATTAGTTTCAATTAAACTGAGGTAGAAGTTCTGGAAAGTAAAACTTTCTTACAAAAAGTTATTTATGAAAAAATACAGTAGAATACTGATTCTCCAAATTAATTAGTGACAAATGTGCTTTGGATAATCAAAAACTCAGACAACTGGATTAAATTCTTAACCATGTTTTCCTTTACTTGAAATTTTAAATTTTTTAGCATCCATAAATAATAAATGGGTTTGAAAATCAAACAAAACACATCACCCAACACTAACATGTGATGACGATGGCTTGGAACAGACTAGAACAGACAAGAACAATGACTGTGTGGGCTGACTCAGCAAGTGGAGACAGAGTCGGCACTCCTTGGCTGCACCGATTTTGTTAACTGGCAATTCGGCTAATCATGATTCAGATAATCGGCATTCTATAATGCAGCATTAATATCAGGCTTCGGCTGGGATCAGAAAAAATTTTCATTAAATACGTTATTTCATTAAGGGCATGCAATAGCATAGTTAGTTGAGGCACTATGCTACAAGCCAAAAGGTTGTCACTGGATTCTTTAATTGACCCAATCCTTTCAGCCACATTATGGCCCTAGCTTCAACTTAGCCTCTAATAGAAATGAGTAGCAGGAATCTTTCTGGGGGTAAAGGGCATCCAGTGCATAAAGCTGACACCTCACCACCATCTGTAAGCCAATTTTCTAGAAAATGTGGGAGCCTCAATATCTCATAACCCTATGGGACTCCACGGCCTGTTAAAGGGAAAGTTTTTCTTATTAGCATTTCACTTAATGAATAAATATTAATCAGAACTATAAAAGGCCTTACCTTACTGTCCCCCATTCCTTGAAGCATCCCTGGGATCAAAGTACGCACATGAAGTTTGCATTGCACACCCATAGCATTTCCCAGTGACTGACAAATGACAATAGCAGCAGCTGCTATTTTACTGTTACTGTCAACAAGACGCTGTGCAAGAACAGGAGGCAGTTCACCCAAATTATTTGTCACCAATTTATTCTCACTCACAATACTTGCCAACTTCTGCAATGCCTCCATCCGCACCTGAAGATAACAAACATAGACATTTTTCAATCTGCTATATATGTATATCACACCTAAGTATATGTTAAGTGGGTCTTTTGTCACCACATGGCACAACCTCAGAACATCTTGGCCTCCAGATAAGGAAGGTAGCTGTGAATATATTGAATTGGCAGTCGCAAACACCTGATAAGTGGTGTTCCTCCAGCTTTGAGGCTAACAACTCCTCACCGTAAAAAATAAGCTTAATATAAAATGTCACAAAGGGCCCTGGACCTGGATGGATTCTTTGGATAAACAATCAAACCTAAGGAAAACGGGCATGAGATTTGGTAGGTGGAATGTAACAGGTCTGTATACGGGAGGTTTGCCCATAACAGTTGTGAAATAATATCAAAATATAAGTTAGATTTAGTGGGAGTATAGAAGGTCAGATGCAACAGGTATGGCACAAAACTGGCAGGTGAATATACACTCTTCTATGGAAAGGGGAACAGGAACGAGTTACAGTTTTTTTTTTTACATAAGAGAATCACATCAGCAGTTCAGAGGGTAGAGTTTATTAGTAATAAGGTGTCATACATAAAGCTAAGAAGTCACTGGTGTGATATCATTGTTCTGAATGTTCCCAACAAAAGATAAAATTGATAATATGAAGGAAAGCTTCTACAATGAGCTAGAATGTGCATTTGATAAATTCACCAAACACCATATGAAAATTTTTTTAGAAAGCTTCAATGCCAAGTATGGAGAAAAGGCTTTTTAAAATTAACAATTGAGAACAGGAGTTTACACAGTTATTAAGGATAATGGAATTAAGGTAGTAAACTTTTCCATATCCAAAAAATCTGACTGTCAAAAAAAGTTCCCACACTATAATAGATTTTCATACCGAAAGTGGTGGTGAAAGGGAGAGACTAGCAGTGAGTAAACAGACAATTCACAAATTTCACATGGAGAGATTCAATCTCAGAAAATTAAATGAGGTAGAGGGTAAAGAGCAGCACAGGGTTGAAATCTGAAATAAGTTCACACTTTTTGAGAACTTAGACAATGACGTGGATATTAATAAAGCTTGGGAAACTATTACACAGAATATCAAAATTTCAGCCAAAGAGAGTCTAGTTATTATGAATTAAAGAAGCATAAACCATGGATAGACAAAGAATGTTCAAAACAATTAGATCAAATGAAACAAGCTAAATTGTAGTGGTTACAGAATTCAAGCAAAATAAATGGAGATAATCTGAACAATATAAGACACAAAGACAGCAGGCATTTCAGGAATAAAAAGAGAGAATATATAGAAGACAAAATTAACGAACTTCCAGCGGTAAGAATAAGAATATTGGAAGCGTGCATAGAAGAATAAATTAATTTCAGAGGGGTTATCAACCTGTAAGTAAGTTAGCGAAGGATGAGAATGGTGATCTGCTTGCAGATTCCCACATTTTGAATAGGTGGAAGAACTACTTCTCTCAATTATTGAATGTACATGGGATCAGTGATATCAGGCAAATGAAAATACATACAGCTGAGACATTAGTGCCTGATCCTAGTACTTTTGAGGCTGAAACACCTATTGCAAATTTGAAAAGTATAAATCACCAGGCAGTCATCAAATTCCAGCAGAACTGATTCAACCAGAGGTGAAACATTACAGTCTGAGATCCATAGATTTATTAATTCTATATGGAGTAAGAGAGAAGTGCCTGATCTGTGGAAGGGATCCACAATTTGCAAGAAGGGTGATAAAACTAACTGTAGTAATTATTGAGGAGTATCACTGCTATCAACTTAAGACCCACTGCTAGGCAAAGACCTCGAAACAAACAATGAAGAATGCCACTACAACAGAGTTACTGTGGAAAAACATGTTTCCTACTCAGTCTGGCAAAGGAGTTATAAAGAAGACAATTGGGGTGACCCAGGCAGTTGTCAGTTGAGAGGTGAGTTCTGCAAGGGAGGCTGAGAAGAGATGGCATTATAGAACAGTTGACACTTCAGTTGTGGAGTGTTAACCAGCAGGCAATGGCGTGACAACACAAGCTGAGGAATCTCAATTAAGATTTGTTACCAAGAAACAACTGTGAACACAGATTTAGAACTCTTAGAGTGCTCTAGTGATTTGTAAAGTGTGGAAATCAGAGACAGCGTTGTAAGTGCTTGTAGTTAGCAGCCTCCGTAGTCTAGGGGTAACATTCCACCTCATGACTCAAGGTACACGGGTTCAAACCCGGCAGGAGTCGTGGAATTTTTAAGGGCGGAAAAATTCAGGGAACAAGTCCTCCGGGAGGGACTTTAAGCCGTGGGTCCCGTGTCATAGATTTACAGCACGTAAAAGATCCTCATATCTCTAGGAGACCTCTGGGCAAAATTAGGCAAAAAGTTTCCAATGCCTCTGGTAGATGGGAGAAATATCAGGTACCGACAGCCGACCTCGTTGGCTGACCAGGGCTGGTAGCACGCACCAGTACCGGTAGGGTATGGGGACAGTAGAAATTAAAGGGGGACAAACAATGGACGAATAACTGGTCTAAGTGCATGGGGAAACCCACCCCCTCTAATAATAATAAGTAATAATAAGTGCTTGTAGTTCCATGTGGGGTGTAAAAGAAGTCAATAAACAAGAGTCACCAAACCAAACCCCATCTATAACCACACACATACATGTGACTTCCTGGTGTTAGAAGTGATTGGCTTTGAAACCGCACTGAATCGTGACAAGTTATACGCCCATATTACAAAAACGGAACAAATGGCTAAACTCCTGAAAGCCATGCAAGAAAAAATGGACACCACAAACTCAAAGAAATAAAATAAGACATAAATACCAACCAAGAAGAAATGAATTAGGCACAATAGATCACTATGGTCGTGGTGCAAGGGCCAAGAAGGTCCACCCCTTATACAAGATGAAATGAAAGCCAACCAGGCAAAAATGGAAGCCAATCTAAGGGAAATGGAGGCTGAAATGAGAGCCAACCAAGAATTCCTGAGAGAAGAAATGCTGGCCAAAATGGAAGCCCATCAAGAGAGGATAAAGGCCTGCTGTGTTGTGAGTGAGTGAAAAAGAACACAGCAAGCCACGAACAAACACAGGACGATACTAAGAATCTCCTTCTCAAGATAGACAGGTGGCACAAGCTCAGCCCCCTTCAAGAAAGACGATAGGAGAAGTGACACGAACCTACTTGGTTTATAAATTTTAACTTAAACAACAAAGTTTTAAAAACTTTTAATACCAGGAAAGCTGCTGTGTTTGTGAAAAAAATTGGATTTTATGTATATTGTGTATTCCAGGCATTGGTGTGTATATAATTTAGCACTCAGAACACCTATTTGTGATAGTAGTTTCCGAATAAGTATCGATGTTCCCTCTGAAGATGATCCGTATGGATTGAAACATGTAAGGGTGCTAAGTTTTCAAGTTGTAAAACTTAAATAGTCACACTGGACAGAGTTGTTCTGTCTTTGTAACTGTTAGTGTGACAGACCAGAATGAAACAAATCAAAGACTGAATTCAGGTTAATTCGTACTATCATTCAGTCCAGAACCTGCTGTCTTATCTTCTGTCTAAAAATGTAAAAATCAGAATATATGAAACTCTAATTTTGCCTGTGGCTTTGTATGAGTGTAAAACTTGGTCTTTGACATAAGGGGAGGAACACCAGCTAAGCGTTTGAGAACAGGGTGCTGAGGAGAAAATTTGGACCAAAGAGGGATGAAGTGATACGAGGTTGGAGAAAACTGCACAGTGAGGAGCTTCATAACTTGTACTCTTGATCAAGTATAATTAGAATGATCAAGTCATGGAGGATGAGATGGACAGGGCATGTAACATGCATGGGGAGCAGAGGAATCCATATAGGATTTTGGTGGGAAAGCCAGAAGGAAGGAGACCACTAGGAAGATCTAAACATATGTGGGAGTATAATTTTAAAATGGATCTTAGAGAGATAGGCTGGAGTATTACTGACTGGCTTATCTGGCTCAGGATTGGGATAAATGCAGGGCTCTTCCGAACACGGTAATGAACCTTCGGGTTCCATAAAATGTGGGAAATTCTTGAGTAGTTGCACAACTTGTGGCTTCTCAAGGGCTTCAGCTCCATGCAGGGACAAGGCAGTGAATGTCTCAAGATGCTACATAGTCAGGTATTTCCATCACATATACAGCATATCAGCAGTTGATATTACTCCACTTTGTCCTTATTGGCTTACACATTGTAAAGATATCTTTGCACTGAATTATTTGTGGAATTAAGAGAGGATTTCCATATGAAAGGCTACACCCAGACAAAATTATATCTAATTCACACTTTTAAATTTCAGAACTAAAAACTCATTAAATGCATGATCAGACGTTTGAATTACACAGTTACAGTAGCAACATTTGAACTGTGTGTGATTATGAACTTAATCTGAGGGCTGAAGCTCTCAAAGGGGTGAACATTACAATACAGTCACTGCCTACCCCATCCAATGGTAAGTTTGCTGCATGCCAATTCCAATCCTGTGAAGCAAAACACTATCGCCACCACACACACCGGCACGTCATTTTCTCCTACAGAAGTCATTCAAATGCACAGAAACTGTTAAGTGTAGTTTGTTGAACCTTCAAAGAGTCAATATAAGTAGCAACTGTCAATCATTTTCATCTGTTCTTTTCTGCCTCTTTTTCAAGTACACAAGTTCAAAATCCAGTCTTCATGGAAATGGCTGGCCTAACAGGTACATTTCCAGTATGGGGGGAAGGCAGTGAATGTCTCCAGACTGTATTAATCTGGGATAAGATGCCATGTAATTAGGTAAATGGCTGCAACATTTCAGAGGAACATACTGCCTCCAACTTCACATCACAAAAAAATTATTCTTCTTCCCTGAAGATGGAGGCATGTTCCTCTGCAATGTTGCAACCATTACACCAAACTACACACCTTCACAATTTATAATCACCTTGATAATTTGGAAACAAAAATTAAAGTTTTCAAAATTAACTTCTTTTTTTTTTAAATTTGTATACTTTTTGTAATCACCATTCAGATAGTAAATGAAATGTTTTGGGAATACCTATGATGTCCTATAACATGGTTTTGCTTTGCAGAGATGTTATCACAGGTTCATAGCATTACATCATAATGGATCCTACCGTGCCATATTTAAGCTGACCGAGCACCTCATTTGAACACTGCAAGCTTTTTGTCCAGGTTTAGGCAAGTGACAGCCCAAGAGATCATGCCTTCAACATAACTTCTCTACTAGAATACAAAGTATACAACCATCAGAGTATCTGTCTCTAAAGCACATCTCTATGCAAGAAACATAAATCAAAAAGCATTAAAAATATAAATATGCTCACTTTCCAGTCCCTATCTGCAAGTTCTGAAAGCAGACTCTCTGTGATATGAGAACTGATATCAACATGAGGCATCAGGTCATGAATGTTTAATGTTTCTTTTACTGTCTGTTCGACATCCTCCCCTTCATCTTCCTCCACATCTTCCTTGTCATCTTTTTTCTTCTGTCCTCGGATTGGAACTGGAGGAGATTCTCCAACATGCTGTAAGCAAATATTTCTTTTTATTTCTTCTTGATTGATTTTGATATGTTTCAACAGTGCAGATTATATAGTATCAAATGATAGGATGACAAGTGATTAATGAATCAGGCATCCACATTGTTTCCACTGGAAACAATGTAGAGGGAAGTGGTCACAGTCTATGTTAGGACATACATTCTCTGGGCTAAGATACAAATCCATGACTTCGTGATCACATACCAGGGGTGCTGATCACTTGACCATTACATTCATGGCAAGAAAATAGAAACTCCTGTTGGTGACACACTCATCTTTATTATCACCAATACTAGCTCTAGTAGGACAACTGAAAGTGTTAACAACCTGGGAGAGGGGTGGGGGAGAGAACAAGAAAAGGGAGGAAGTAATCAAAATATTGTCACGTTTGGATTCCGGAAGCGATACTTCCATGGAAACACAATAACAAGAGCGGGCAGGCTGTTGCCTGGTAATGCGCGAAATAACTAACGTGTTTCCCCGGAGATGAAAGGACATAAATTGTTGAAGCAACGTTTCGATACCAGCTAGTGGAATGAACCCTTCAACATGGTGTGCTCTATCTGGTCCGAAACCAAGTTATATAAAATTCAGCTTTCACAAGTCAGTCAGTGCTTAGTGTGGCTCTGATTAGAGCACAAGCTAGCTCGCGTCCAACAAAGAAGACACTTCACCGAGGTCAGTGGTGCAAGTAATTATAACAGTGAAGAGGAAACGTCTGAAGGACGTTATAAGCTGATAATAACTGTTAAGTGTAGAAGTGTAAAAGTGAAGCACAATAAATATTCGCTAGACCCAAGACTGGCCTGAAGAATTATTTGTCGCACAACATACCCAACATGCAACAATATATAAAAGGAAGCAGTAAGGCTGGCCATTAAAAGAACGGAGAGTTTATAGGATGATGGGAAAGATTGAAAGGCTTTGCCCCAATACAAACCACCCTGATGAAAATGTCCACACTCACTGTTTTCCTGGTGCTCACCCNTATATGCTAATTTTATGTACATACATATAACTTTAAAATCTGACAAGACATCTACATAAGAAGCGCAACAATTGAGAAAAGTTTAATTTTTGCATCTGTCTGGAACTACATGTTCTGACTAAAAGCATATCCCTCAATAAAAACATAAAAGAGATCACAAAATATGAAATAATCTTTACCTTATCAAACTCCGCCTGAATCTGCTGCTGCACCTGCGACTTCTCATCTTCAAAAAACACTGATAGCTGTGCTCCTAAGTACAAGTATATGGTGCCTATTAAATTCATGGCAGCATTACGTATTGCAGGATTGGTAGCACTCACTGCTTTCTTCACATTGTCCATTATGGGCTTTGGTTGGACACTGAGAAGAAGAAATTGTAGTTTAACTTAAGATTGTGTACTGCTTTAAACAAAATATAAAGAGTACTAAAAATTAAACTTAAAGCAAGCTACAGTCTATATTGCAGTTTCTCAACCAGTGGTGTCCAGTCTGCNGCTGCCTTTATATCTGCGACGACATACGGTGTCTTTTGTCGTTTAAAGGTTAATTTACACTGGTTCACAAATTCTAGTTCGCATCATGTACATTTAATCACAGCAATACTTGTTCTTTCTTTCATTTTTCATTTTGTTTTAGCAATTCAATGCCTTGTGTCTCCTTCTATCGCAGGTCTCGCTAGACACATTATTAGCAATTATCAGTCTTTCTGTTACCTGCTAGACACAAGCAAGTCTCAAATTCTTACAGCTAAATCGGGGGGGAGATCTTATTTCAATTAAAACAACATTTTCCAGTCTCAGGCATCAAGAATTTTCGGATAACTACTTCTACAATACTCAGCCAGCTGGACTGTGTTCATTCATCAACACAATAATGTGACAAATGATTGCTAAAGATTAAATAACTAACATTCAACACAGCTCCACCACTCAGTAACATACTTCTACAGGTCTACAAGCAAACCGCATCAATCATAAGATGCTATGATACCACACCTCTGAAATCCAAACTCCCTGATGGCAGTGGAGAGCCAAACAAGTGCTTCTTGCTGCACTTTTGGACTCTTCTGAATGAAAGCAAAATTTATAACCTCTGTAGCTACCAATTCCAATTTAGTAGCTTCAGCAAGAGATGTTAGAGTTTCAGCTGCAAGTGTTCCATTCTTAACATCACCAAGCTTGTCTGCAATGTCAGTTATACAGTAGCCCAACACTACACTGGAAAATGAAAAAGTTTGGTCATTATGAAATCTGTGAACTCAGTCACACTCATTACTTGTGACTGTCAACACATTAAACAAATCAAAGAACAACTTATAAACTAAACCTCAACATGATCAAAACCTTTTGTCTTCTCGTCTGTTGTCCAAAAACATAAAAATTAGAATATACAAAACTATAATTTTGCCTGTGGTTCTGTATGGGTGTGAAACTTGGTCTCTGACATTAAGGGAGGAACACAGACTCAGGGTGTTTGAGAATATTTGGACCAAAGAGAGATGAAGTGAGAGGAGGTTGGAGAAAACTGCATAATGAGGAGCTTCATAACTTGTACTCTTCTCCAAGTATAATTAGAATGATTAAGTCGAGGAGGATGAGGTGGGCAGGTCATGTAGCACGAATGGGGGAGACGAGAAATGCATATAGGATATTGGTGGGAAAGCCAGANATGAACCTTCGGGTTCCATAAAATGCTGGGAAATTCTTGAGTAGCTGCAGAATTGGTGGCTTCTCAAGAAGAGCTTAGCTCCATGAGTGAGTAAGTAAGTAAGTAAGTAAGTACGTAAGTAAGTAACGTTGTTTGTCAGCAGTCTTCCAGAAATATGAAAACAAGTCTTCTGTTATCAACAGTACACTGCCTTCATTATTTTAAACCTGCAGCTTACATGCCACACTGATCTCAAAAGGTTCATGTTTCAAATTACACATCCTCCTTCATAACATGAATCTCTGATTTTCATTGAGTGTGTGACAACTGACAGTGTGGAATACAGTCCTTCTTGGGCAACCAATCACTGCTCACTTAATGAAGGAATTCCCTGCGTTTACGGAAACCAAATGTTCATTTGCACGACCACAAGAACCTGCCACTTGATCCCATTTTCAGTCAGATGAATCCAGTCCATACCCTAACACAGTACATCTTTAAGATATATTTCAATACTACCCTCCAACTTATATCAAGGCCTCCCAATTGGTTTCCTCTCTTCAGGATTCCCGTCACATTCATATGTTTCTTATTACATCATCACACATAACAAAGACCACACCTTGTAAATCGAGCATTTTCTGCCAAGAGCTTCACAGCTTCAAGCCTAGCTTTTAAAACCTGGAAGTTGGTATCCTTCAGTCCAGGCTTCTTATTCAACATTCGGATTACAACTTGAGTTGGGATTTCAGTTTCCATTTCAACCACAGACTGAAACAGTAAATGAATCATATATCATAATACTAACTAAAAAATATAATATATATATCCCTAATGTTGGCAGTACTGGAGCAGAAAAAAATATTAATTTATTTATTTGTCATTTATCTAATGATGGTGAGACTAATTTGGATGACAGTTACAATGAATTGGAATGGCATGGGAAGAATGGTAATGACCTCATTTAAGGTATTACTTGCCTAAAAGGGCTGTGGAAAACGATGATATATCTCAGCCAAGATAAGTGTCCTGGCCCAGATGTGCAACAGTCTCCTCCTGCATTTAAGCTGGATGTGCCACCACCACTTATTTGGTCAAGGCCACTAGTGGAATTATATTTCAACATGCCTGAACATTCACATTCAGTGAATTTGATTTGTTTCATTCTGGTTCGTCATACTAATATTATGAAAAAGTTAATTAGTTCCATTCAGTGTGACTGGTTATGATTTTCTTATTTTAATTATTCATGCCCTTACATGTTTCTGTCTTCAGAGGGACACCTTTTATATCAATACAGTTAGAAGCCACTATTACAGTACATGTTCTAAAAGTTAAAATATATACATACAATATAAACAATATACAATTGGCTGTAAAATCAAGGTACAGGGAACACATAAGAAACATAAGACTAAACAAAGACGAATCGGCATTTGCCCAACATATACTAAACAAACGCCACCAGTACGGACCGATGACAGTAATCATGGAAATGGTTGAGAATGCCAAAAAAGGGAGCATCATGAATGTAAAAGAAAATTTCCATATATATCGCTTTAATAAGCCCAACAAATTGATAGAACAAAAACACACAAAGGAAAGTGACAACCAGTATAATACAGGGTTTGTCCGGAAAGTAATGCAATTAAGTTTGTAAAAAAAAAAATATTCATGATATCGTTACAGACATTTAAAATTCTTCAAAGTACTCCCCTTGGGCATCCACACACTTTTGCCAGAGACTTTTCTATGCACGGTATACATCCTGGAAGGCGTCGACGGGGACCTCGTTTAGAGCCTTTGTCATGGCAGTCTTGATCCTCGGAAACAAAAAGAAGTCTGCCGGAGCCAGGTCAGGATTGTAGGACAGCTGGGGCAACGTTGCCATGCTGTGCTTGGCCAGAAGCTCCTGGACGCGCAGAGTGGTGTGGCTGAGAGCGTTGTTGTGGTGCAGCTGCCAGGTAGTGGTGATCTCCTTTCGAGTGCGGGCGACCCTGTTTCTTAATTTGTCAAGCACTTCCACATAGTAGGTAGCATTGACTGTCTGCCCTTGGGGTACAAATTCTTTGTGGACCACACCCTTGGCGTCGAAGAAGACTATGAGCATGGTTTTCACTTTCGATTTGCTCATTCTTGCCTACTTGGGACGAGGGGACTCCAAGGTGTGCCATTCGGAACTTTGGCGCTTTGTCTCCGGGTTGTACTCGAAGGCCCATGTTTCGTCGCCGGTAATGACACTGTCCAAAAAATCTTGTTTGTTTTGCAAACATTCCAAAAGTTCACTTGTGATCGTCACTCGGTTGTTCTTGTGGTCGTCATTCAACAATTTGGGGACCAACTTGGCACACACTTTCCACATGTGAAAATTGTTGGTAACGATGTCGTGCACAGCAGTTTTCGGAATACTGAGAGTCTCTGCTATCATCTGGACACTCATTCGACGATCGGTATTTAAAAGATCACGAACATGAGACACATTTTTGTCACTTTTGCTGCTTGACTGCCGTCCAGAGCTGGGGTCATCTTCCACCTCTTCCTGGCCATTTTTAAACAACTTCAACCACCTGGAGACTTGAGAATAGGGGAGAGCAGAGTCGCCGTAGGCTTCCTGAATCATTTGGTGGGTGTCAGCAAGGCTTTTGTTCAGTTTAGCACAAAACTTGATTGCGTAACGTTGTTCAATAGTTTTCTCCATTGCACGTCATGACACAGGCACTAACAGGAGGTTCACGGAAACAGCGATCCTGACGCTCCCAGAGCTTAGAGCAGACTGAGCTTGGAAGCGTTTTGAAGCTAAGAGTACCCCCCCCCTCTTTCCCAACCGGTCCGAACGCGCTGCGAAAAGGAGGGGCGGCGGGAAAAAACAAATTGCATTACTTTCCTGACAAACCCTGTATGTTAGACCTCATAATACAACATCAGTACATGCCCACACTAACGTTAGAGACACAAGAAGTATAAATATGTGGTACAACACAACCTAGAACAGTAAAAGCAACCCAGAGGGCCACAAATACATACAGGACAACATTAAAGGTAGGATGAAATAACAAGTTTTCACAAAACATAACAGGATTAATGAAATAATACAATATACCCATAATATTGTAATGTGTTTTGCTACTGATGAAGCCGTTTGGATTGTTAATTGGTATATTTAACAACCTGCCAATCGCAACTACAAATACTTATAACACGGTTGCGGGTTTACCAAGTTTATAAACCCTACACAATAATCTATCCACTCTGTCTTTAGTAGTCTTCACATATTTATAACGTGGGAGCTATACAAGTCTCTCTTAATTACACACTCCCAACATAACTGTACTACAGCACACAAAGAGTCTTTAAGTCACACAATAAGTCTTCACTGGCTTACTTCTCAGTTATCGCGCACTATCACAGATTATCACATCAAATCTTCTAACCAAGTTTTCAGGTCTTCTTCCCGCGACTGCTGCTATATTTCAACTGACTCCTTAGGCAGTGTAGTTCTCTTACAAACCCTCAGCCAGGCAACGGGAAAACGCCACGCTTCCTTGTTGCCCAGTCACTGTGTTTACAGGTGTTGCTGGCAACGCTATCAAGAGTTGTTTATTGCTGCATAGCAAGCGCGGCAATGGTTGCAAAACACAGTTGCTCTTCCGTTATATCATCGTGGGGGAGGAGGTGTTTACAAAGTGTTGTGTACAGATGGAAGGAGTGGGCATATGTGACGTCACTTGTGAGACCGCACAGTTCACATGACCCCTACTTCCCGTTGCGCCATCCACGTCACAATATATTTGCAGAACCCTCTTCTCGAAAACAACAAGGTGGCACATTTTCGGCCCCGTCAAAAAATAATAAGAGGAACGACATGAACCAGCTTGGTTTACGAATTCCAATAGAATCTTAACAAACTAACCATAAATATTTTAAAGTATTGGAACAGCTGCTGTAGTTGTAAAGACTTTCGATTTTACAGCCAATTGTATACTGTTTATACTGTATGTATATATTTTAACTTTTAGAACATGTACTGTAATAGTGGCTTCTAACTGTATTGATGTAAATGTTGGCTCTCTGAAGATGGTTTCTGAAGACTGAAACATGTAAGGGCATGAATAATTGAAATAAGAAAATCATAACCAGTCACATTGAACGGAACTAATTAAATTTTTCATTCACATTCAGCTTTATATGGAGACAGCATAAACTGCAACTTTAAGGACTACTCCTTATTGCGATACTAACAGTCAGGAGTTGGTGAAGGAATTTCCCACCCCTTTTATGGAACCCAAAGGTGGATATCTTCTACACAGCATCGCAGCAATAGATCCCATCATGATCCAGTTAAGTCCAATCCACACAGTCACATTATACTTATAATCTACTTTATCATCACCCCATCTACACCAAAGAATTCCACTGTTTCTTCTGCCAGTTTTTCTACTACAACACTGTCTGAAATTCTCACCTACAAAAGCAATACCTGTGTGAACTGAGGTTCTTATTAGACATGCATGAGAACGCCTTTTTAAGTTGGAGGCAAAATATTTTTACTTGAATAATTTTTAACACTAGCCAACTTTTCACAGTGCCCTAAAGTTTACTACCATATTTACCCAAATGGGAGACGACCGCACATACAAGTTTACCCTGTACTAAGAAACACGCATATAAAAAGTATTTTTATGAATTAATTCTGTAATCTATAAACATGTGAGGGAAATAAATAATACAAAACATGCTAGATATGAAACTTAACTGTGTTGCTTACTTCTTTCAAGTCACTTGCCTTTATTCAGCATCACCAGCCTCTATTTGCTATTGTGTACCCCATACATGAAACACTAACGCAATTGTTCCTACATGTTACAGACGAACAACACAAAGGCACATGAATGTGGGTATATTTTGGAACTGTATTCACTGAAAGAAGTGTATCATTTTTCAACAGCAATTTTCAAAACACCTGATTATGACCTTATTTGTCAAAACGTGTGGTAACGTGAAAAAAAATTTTAAAATTAAAAAAAGTGAACTTCAAGACTAACACAAATATGCATGTGAGATGGTGAATAAGAAGTGAAAATAAGTGACGTGCAACAGGATGCTGCAGTACAATATCAGTAAACATCTACCAGACTACAAAGCATATCCCAGACAACATTATCTTTCAAACGCAGTACCTGTGTTAACTGCTCCACAGCAGACAAACGAGTTTTCCAGTTACTATCACTCAGTCCCAAAATTATTTCCTGAGAGAAAATAGCAGCTGCCTTTTCATCAACTTCTTCTTGACTCAGGTCTTTTTCTGAAAATTTGGCAGATTTTACTTTGGCAGCTGAAGCACCAGCAGGCTGTCTTTTCTGTTGTGTTTTCTTTGGCGGTGCAGGAGCTCCTGCTGTTGCTGGTCTCTTAACAGGTTTTGCAGAATTTCCTGCCACAACTTTGCCACTTCCAACTGCATCTCCACGTAATTTAGCTGGTGCCGTGCTGGGACAATCAGTTTTAGGAACCTTTGCTACGATAACAGCCTTATCACAGGCCTCCTTTATCTGTTATAAGGATAGAATGTATTAGGTACAACATTCTGTCTGTATAGATAAAGGAGATATATTCTTATTGAATGATTTCTGCAATTAGTTCAATTTATTTCTTGGACAGAGGAAATAATTAGGACTTACTCAATAAGGAATGAACCAAACTGAAGAAAAACAAATTTTAACTAAAAATATTAGCACTGTAGATCTCGCATAATTATTAAGCATTAGCAAACTTATCCATTCTTTGACCAGAATACAGTTGCTTTCTTTAACAAATATGATATATAGTGATCAACAATTGTTAAAGAGAATAACACTGACATGCTGTATTCATCACTAATTACTGTCTGGTCATCCTATGTATTTGGTTCCTTACTAACAATTCAAAACAAATAATTCTATATCTCTTGCATTGGGACCATGCTGAATAATCTGTTATTACACATTTTATAAAACACTATAATCATCAGCATAAGCACTCTGCACTTCAACTGTTAACAAAGAGTGTAACAATTATACATATAATATCCTCATATACATTATTTAGCAAAACAAGGTGCATGATGATGAAAAATGGATTGGGGGGGGTTTGACAATCATACAGCACTGCTGATGGTATGACAGAATGTTGAATCTTCATTTAATGCATGCATTAAATTTCATATAAGCACTTCAGACCTACTTCCTGTACTAAGAAAGATAAACGTTATCTCATGGAAATGTTTTTTCGTCACAATAATGTCACATGGTGTTTGCATGTTTAAATCCAATCTCACTTCTGTAACACCAGTTGTCGGTGTGTTGCCTAAGTAACACAACAAATCAATTCATGCAGGTCTCGGATTTAGCGAACAAGTTTATTGGCCAATCACTCTTACACACGCAAGTACAATTATGTACAACAATTATGTTGTGCAGTGATGGCCATCATATAGCACATCACAATAAATAAGTGCATAAATCAGAAGAAATGAAATACACATGCAATTAAATATTTTATACTCACAATGTTTTAAGCATATGGATCAAAAGGCATTATGGTTCACACAATTAAAAAGAAAAGGAATGATTCCAACCGCAGGGAACTCTTGTACCTGGAGGAATTACATTCCTCTGCATTGATAAATATTTACCAGGCTACATGGCATCACATTCCAAAAGATAGCAATATTCATGGAATAAGTTGCTTTAAATCATGCTTTCTCAACAGTCTATTTTGTGGACTCCTTCACATGATATTCAGTATTTTTCATTCACTGATACAAATAGGCAATATTAGAAGGCTTGTGGAAGAAAGAATAGCATTTGCCATTTCACTGCATGTTCACATTGTTAAAATAATCACACCTTAAATTCATTTGACCCTATCAGTTGTTGGATACATGGTATTTTACTGAACATTAGCCTCAGCTTCTAGCACAATTTAAAAAGAAGTTAGGTGTCAGAATGAAATGGTATAATACTACTTACTTTAGTCATCTTGAAATTATCTAGGTCTGTCAAGAAAACCATAATTTGTTTTTCACCCACAACTTTCATGGCTGTACCCAAAGCCTCTGCTGAACTATCTCGTACAGTTGGATCTGTAAAATTAAAGGATATAATTTGGATTTTCATTTCTATTCTAGGCTTAAAAGACTATACTTACTTACTTACTTACTCATGGACCTGAGCCCTTATGGAGGAGCCGCCAATTCTGCAGCTACTCAAGAATTTCCCAGCATTTTATGGAACCCGAAGGTTCATAACCACATTCACAAGAGCCCTCCACTGGTCCCTATCCTGAGCCACATCTATCCAATCCATACCATCCCATCCTATCTCTCTAAGATCCATTCTAATACTGTCCACCCACCTACGCCTTGGTCTTCCTTGTGGTCTCCTTCCTTCTGGCTTTCCCACCAATATCCTATACGCATTCATCTCCGCCATTTGTGCTACATGACCTGCCCACCTCATCCTCCTTGACTTGATCATTCTAATTATACTTGCCAAGGAATCAGTCCAGGTCCGAGGCTTTGTGTTCATTTTTGTAACATAATGATTTTTTACGGTGAGGAGTTGTTAGCCCCACGCCCAACCCCCAAGCTGGAGGGCCACCCCTTGTCAGCTGTCCGTGACTGCTTATTCAATATATTCACAGCTTCCCTCCAAAACTGGAGGGTGTCTCCTTAATCCGCAACCTGAGGACGCGTCATGCCGTGGTGACAGGGACCCACTTAACATGGTAAAAGACTATACAGCAACATTAAAAAATGCAAACAGGAAAATTTAGCAGATACGAGGTGTGTCTATTAAATCATAAGACTCCATGCACAGCCTCTCAAACTAATTTCTCAGTCCACATACAGAATGCAATGGTTGTCAATTGTGAGTCTTCCCTTAGTTGTGTGCTGAAGTACATTTCAATGTGTTTACTTATTGCAGGACTGTACAGCTTTATGTGAAGTATTTTTAATGCATGCTGGAAACATGCTAGACACAAATATTGAACATGTTAACATCAAAATTTTAAGAACACTAACAAAATCACCACTGAAAATATCAGTTGTTACATGAGATGGAAGACACCCTATTGAGTACAAATGCTTCTCACTAGTATAAATTTTTCTTTTAGAAAAAGAGAAGTAGTGGAAGTTGATGAATCATGTGATTAACTAGTAATCATGAAAACCGATGAGAAGATGAAAAAGTGAGGCCTCTTGTATATAATGATCCCCATTTGAGCACCAGAATGAGTATGAGGGGTGAGCCATAAAAACCGGTCCTTCCACCACAACCTTCAATGATTCATTGTGCTTCCCCTTTGGCTTAACCCTTTATTAATTCTATACTTTGAATGAAATGTAGGACTTTATTTATGGGGGGGGTCATAAAAGTCACTTGATTCCATGAAGAACTGACCCAGGTGGCGATATCTTTGAGCACCAGAATTGTAGCAGAGGAATTAAATATAAGCAAGATGGTAAAATAAACTATAACCAAAAATTTTAATATGAGAAAAATCTGCAACAGGAGTGTAAGGAAAAATCTGAATGAAGAATAGAAATTTTTATTGACTGTGGGGGACGTGGAATAAATAAATGAAATAAAATTCAACTTTTCTGTCCATATGCATGAAATGTAACGCCTATTTCACATGAAGCTCAAATTCAAAGTACAGTCACACCCTAAGTCACAGTTCTGACTTACAGTGCTTCGGACTTGAGGACATTTTGAATAGCCACCATTCCCCGAAGTTGCAGCACTTGTTTCAGAGTTACAGCTCTTTAGCAGCAACAAAAGTCGTAAGGCTGTTATCTATGAGGTGCAACTATTAAATAGTGGGTGTGGTGTGAAAAATCAGGTTTATTTTCAAAATCACACAAATTAATTTCTATCCCCTTCAATGTACTCCCCTGACCCCCTCCATCTATATATCGCTGCATACAAATTTTCCATTGTTCAAAGCAGTGCTGCAGGTCATCAGCTGACACCCTGTTCACCAGGTCCCCCATTTTAGGTTTCCTCTATTTTCCACATTTCAATGTCTGGACAATGAAATGTGGGGGGAGGGGGGGAGACTGGAAAATAATGGTACATCATCATACCAAACAACACAATCATTTCATAGCGGAATTAAACTGAAAGAAGAACTAAATTATAACCATAACAATGTCCATAAACTGCCATGTAATGTAACATTATGATTGCAATGGTAAACATGAAAATATAACAACACATGTGATGTCTAAACACGAATTAATATCTTAACTCAGCGCCTAGGTGTATTTTATAATTTTAACCCCTTGTAATTTATCTTATAATTTCAAACATTTGTAATTCATTATTATATTATTTATATTTTATACTATTGTATGAACATCTGTAAACATTAATTAACATAAAGTTTTTATTCTAGTTGAATGGATATAGAGGAGCAGTAGTGGCTTTAATTTAGTGAAATGCTGGAAATCTGATGCATTAGTAATAATTGTTATACTGTGACATACAGAATACAATTCAACAGTTTAAGAATAAGTTATTAGTGTATATCTGCCTGATGATGGCTTTTCATAAGCCAAAACATGTAGCAAGATACCACTGACATCAATAAACTAGTTATACACAGTTAATGTGAACAAGATTTTGAGAGCTGTTCTGTTGTGACAGATAAACAAACAATTAGTATAAGTTAACACAACAGGATGTATTCCTTGAAGATGTCTCACCTTCTCCATACCATTCAATCACTCATGGGATGTTCTCCATACACCTCACAAAGTTGACATTGAATATCAGCCAGTTTCATGTTTCTTGCATTCAAGAAACAGATTACTGAGAGCATTTCACATATGGTGAGCTTCTCAATTTTCTTGAATATTGTAAACACACAGGACAATGCATAAACACAGTTTGATTGTCTGCAAATCGTATCTGTGCCTTCTCAAAGGGCCAACAAACACTGCACACATGTGCACTATCATGATTACAGCGTTGCAGCAGCAATATTTGCAAACAGAACTTATTTTGTGGATATGCCTCATACAGGTACATAACAAGCATACATCTAACAAAGATTTACAACTTTTAAGTATTTCTCAAAATGATTAGTATTCAATGAAATATAAGGAAAAATTTCTTCTGTGTGGTGTGATACCTGCAGAATCATTGGCTCTGCAACAGTCTATTTGTATCTACAACAAATTAGTACTAGAGTCAACAAGAAGTTACATATTCTTGCTCTCCTGGCATAAATTTGAAAAAATGGAGTACCTGGTTCATTAAGTGTCTTCAGTAATGCAGTAGTATATGCCTTCAACAGTTTCTTGTTAAGCATCATGGGAGTGCACTTTGTGAAACACCTTGCAAGAAAATATGCTGTTTCTGCTTTAACTTGAGGATTCTTGTTTTCTAGAGCTGTAAGGACATCTTCCTGGATAGCTTCTATAGTTGTCTGTAAGAAAGATTTTCAGGTAATAACACAAGATTTTAAAAAAATATGACATAAAATAAAAAAATTACAAAGAGAAAGAAATCAACAAAAGCCTCACACTCAGGAACACAGCATCAATAGCTTCTCGCAATGCATGCACGACATTTTGTTTCTTCTCTCTGAATTTTTCCTGGATGCAAGGGATACAGGCACCAGCATAAGGCTGAAATCTCTTCTTCAAGCCATGTGCCAACCTTGCAAGACACTTTCCTGCCGCGGCAACAACCATCACATTTGTATCCTTCGAAATTATCTGCAAGAAAAGAAAGATTTGCCTCTTATATTATAACCATAACACTGTATACCATTGAAACTCTCAAAACAAGCCATCAAGTCACATTTTCAAAGAAAATCATGCCTTATATTACAGCAACTGCAGGAAACTCATATACACAAATAATTATGTACAGTAAGAAATGTTGTTATACTTATTGTCAGCAGGCTCATTTCTCCATTGTTAGTAAAGAAGGTGTTAACAGCATTCGCTTGCAGCCAGCTAAAGATTACAATATTAATGAAAAGAAGCATTTACACTCGCAAATACAAGTATACTGTACATCTATTACAGCACTTAATAGTAATAACATTCATAAACATACTGTAAACCTATGAAAACAGATAATATCAATGTCTTACAATATACTTCCTAGGCAAGAGCATAAATTTGTTAAATAAGCGTAGACTGACTTAATAACAGACATCACTTATGAAGTTAGTAACAGATATTATGTATTATTAGATATAACAGCATTGGTACACAAAGAAAATATGATCTGCTACAAAAAAACTATTTCTAGCAATCAACTGTACTGCCAGTGTTTTGAGACAGGTTTACAGTAACAATATCTAAATTTTGTTCTAACAAAACATAATTCATGGGTGCTCAGAGGAAAGAGGGAAAGAATAAAGAATGTTATGTAACAGGATAATCCACTGGGAACCCGAATAGATGACAATGATGAAAGACTGAAATTCAAAACAAATCCTCTTGCTGCCTTCTTTGACTTACATCAAAGACTTAACTTAAATCTGCATATTCTAATATATGCACTAATGCTATAAAATTCTTCAATATTGCTGTATTCATAAAGGTTAAGAGTCACTAGAAACTCAAATCAATTTTGTTCCTTCATAACACACAGCCGAGTACAGTGTACAGCAAACTATCAAGACTAACAGTACAGTACATTGAAGTTTGTGGAGTAAATGTCATACATCCCAGACCTATGATGTCGAAGGTAAAAGGGGAGATTTAATGAGAACCATCACAAATCACATGAAAATCTATTAAACTTATTTCATATTACGTAAAATATTCTGACAAAAAAAATCTGAAAAGCATATGGATATGATCTGCAATTTTCATGCTGCTAGTATTTATTAAGATTACAGCCTTCAAGAACACAACCTGGTAAATAGGTACCAATGTATAACAGGAGCCTAATGCCTCCATTTTCAGGGTAGAAGCACAAGCATTTTTACCTTCATATTTCTACCCCAAAGATAAAGGAAGAAAGATCTTTAGGATGTCAGTATTTATCTGCCAGAGTACACAGCATCACACTCCAGAAGAAGGCATACTTAAACAAATGAATATCCAAAGCTCACTCTGTGTGTACTTATTCTACTTCAAATTTAACACTGCTTTTTACTAGTTTGCAGGTCTTCATTAAAACCTGAACCTGATGTTTTTTAGACTACAAATTGCACTACTGTTATGATCTGACAATATACATTATCTTGTAGAATGGAATCCCGTATAATGGAGTTGGAATCAAAGTATTATAAGACCCATCTACATGACGATAAAAGGTAAACAATGGAATAAATTAAACTCCAAAGTACTCAGATATCTATAATACCGCATTTATTAAAATCTAAGTCTACACCAGATGTAAGCCAACCCATGTTTATGAGCCTCTGGTTACAAGACAAGCATATACACATAATATGCGATTATATGATGAGATCTTTCGCAAACACACACTCAGGCAGCACAGTCATTGCTCCACCCATCAAATTATGCCAATCCAAAACATAAGTTCACTTCATGGAAGTGCTGTCTAGAAAACTATCTGTAGAAATCACATTACAGTGAAACACCCCGCATTCCTTGATTTAAGGTTTTCCCTCATTTAACATTCAACTTCAATGATCCCAAGTTAGTAATCTCACTGTTAAATTATCTCCATTTCAGATTTCCTGCAGTTTTGTTCAAACCCACTGCTCCCCAAAGAAATCTTACAAGTAAGTTTCACTGCATATTTCCAATTTATGCAATTATGCATTTCATTAGCTCTTCTTGTTCATAGAAAGAAACAAATTCGGCAGTTTCAATATGCTTCCCTATTAAAGACATTCCCTGTAAAAGTAAATTTTCCTTCATGTCCAACAAACACTGAAGAGTAAACATCAGGGAAGCTTTTATTTCTAAGTAGTCTTAACCTTTGTACTCTAACTACCTTAACCCCATGGAAAGAGCCCCTGGTACTCCATTGGACAGAAGACCGTGTGGGCCACAGACTCAGTTTGATACAGTAGCAAAGAGAATAATGCTACTAAATCTGGCAAGGATCAAACCCTTTATCCAACCCATAATCAGTCAAGTCACTTTGACTGAGTCATTCTATTTCCCACTTTATACAATATATTTTCCTTTCACCACAAATAATAACATGTGGCATAACATGGTAGATGTATGCAGAGGAAACTGTTTTCAGAATCGTACCACTAATTTGTCAACAAACCATAAGAAAAACCACAGCAAGATCAAGCCAAATACTGTCATATTAATCCAGCATAAGAGTAATCAACTCCTTGACGAGACCATACAGAATACTGCATATTACAAAAGCTCTTCCCTAAAGAAAAAACAGGTTTACTTACACATATTGGAGCATCAACTTTTCATTCCTTCCTAGTGTTCTAGGAATTATAAGTTGTAAAATACAATGCTGTAAATGCAAATTGCATCCCCACCCATTACAGAGAAGTGTGACTCAAAAGAGTTTAATAAATGTATTTACCCACTTGCACTTATAAGGGTGCATGGTTAGTGTTATAAAATAGTTCAAGCCCTCAAAACCTACAGTTACAGCTCTTTCCTTCAGTACAAGGAATAATGTACAAACAAACAAGCTACATGAGGCCACTCACAGACTGCATGCGTCAGCTACACAGCTGACCACCTTCAACCAACATGCGACAAAATGATTAGGAAGCACTATAATGGAAAGTGTTAGTTCTATGAGACACCTCACACTACTACAACCAGTTATTTATGGTCAGTAATGATGCAGCATAAGATGCCCCATACAATCAAATGCTTCCTGCACATTTTGCTGCGTACTGTCCAGCAATCAGGATCGATTCTGGGGCACGCAGCGTGCAAGCAGCCTTACTTTCTTGAGAGCGCGGACTACGTCCCCGTAGTCTCCACTCTCCAGTTTCGGTGCCTGCAACAGTTGCTCCAGACTGTCCACAGCTTCCTTTCTCTCCTGCCATTTACTTGCTTCCAATTTCTCATAAAAGTCCTTTGGTAGCTTTGATAATATATCCACTGGCTCCAAGAGATCATATGGGTCTACTTCTGGAGCACCATCCTCGTCATCCACCGCCTCATCTGCAGGATAGTAACTGTTATAACTTGTTCAAGAGTTACACAAACACAATACCATTTTCAAATCCATTTGAAAAATATTACATCATATAACGAGTGGAAGAACGTACCAGATGAATAGCCGATGTTTTACGAAACAAATTTAAATAATACACATAAGAACCAAAGAATTTTATAAAAAAATTAACAAATGAACTAATTTTCTACCCAAATTATATTCTACCAGGTCTTATGAATATATGTACAATGTAATACATTTCCAAGACACATTAATATGAGTTCAGCAAAGATAATGACATATTAATTGTTTCAAAGGCATAGAAGAAATTGAAAAGACATATAAAACACAGCATTCATCAACAATTTAAATTGAAAGTAATTATCATCATAATACATTTCATTTTGGCAGTACATACTTCTCTAGAAACTAAGCACACCATTCCATCTGGAGTCCATTATGTACTGATCATATAAACAGATACTTCATTAAGACTTCAAACATGAAATCTTTACTCGTAAGTAACAAATCACTCCTCATACAATAACTGTCAGCAAGGTTTTCAATAAATGAATGACAGTTAACTAAACTCATAAAATTAAACATTTGGATCATGAAATCACAGGCATGATACCACTTATCACAAGTACAGTAACATTCTCACCTTCCGCATTGCCAGCTGCTACTGCTTCAGCAACCATCTTCGCTTGCTTCTGTTGCTGCGACTTAAGATATCGAGTGGGGACTACTTTCTCGCCTTTCACCTTTTCAAATTCCAATTCTAATTCTGACATCTGTATCCAGAAAACAAAGCATCCATTTGAATAAAGATGTAACAAACATAATATGCAAGGGCTAACCTCACTCACAGCATTGAGGTTGGTTTTCTAACAGATCCAAGACAGTAGATGTCTCCCACTCCCTCACCTGATATAACAAACCCAGTTTCTGAAAAACGTTCTTTAGAATACTGGATGATGGACAAGTCCAAAAACCCAGTAATCCTGTGTGAAAAAAATTAGTCTACAAATACTTCAAAACTATTTTAAAACACTACAAAAATTTCAGAAGTTTGGTCTTATATCTTTCAAATTTCACCGATCTACATAAAATATTGTGACATGTCTAACCGTTGCTGGGCAACGGGAGAGGGACCGAGTTACCATGAAGACAGTCCCTTGATAAACAGTTGGTTGCCAGGTTACACAACAGTAAGAAATGCAGTGTTTCTCCATGCTGTACCGAGTACAGCCGAAGTGAGCCGAAATGAGCCGAAGCACACTGGTTGCTACGCAGCAATAAACAACTCTTGGCAGTGTTGCCCAGAAACACCTGTAAACATGGCGATTATGCAACAGGGAAGCAAGGCGCATTTTCTGCTGTCCGACTGAGGGTTTATAAAAGTTACCAGAGGGAGAATAACCACTCAGTTTCACTGTAGCAGTCGCCGAGTTGGGTTGTACCGAGTGCATGGAGAAGTGTTTGCGATACTGCCGATGGCAGTAGTTGGGAAATTGTGAATTGTATAATTGTGAGAGCGAGTGTTCAATAAATTCGCTACATCCAAGACGGCGTAAAGTTATTTGTCACATTATACACCCAACATGTGACAATTTGGTGTCAGAAGTTCTTTACGAACTTGATCACGCCTCAACGAATAACTGAATTTACGAGTGCATCAAGAGATGGATTCACAGCAGATGATGGAACTCCTGCTGAAGAAACTCAGCACTGGCCAAGAAAAACAGATGTCATGCTGGGAAAATTAGATGCCAACCAGGCGAAGGCGGACACCGATAGAAAAGCCTGGCGAGAAGAGATGGACGCAGAAAGAAGAGCTATTGAAGCAAGGGCGGAAGCCAGGCTGGCAAGAATGGACGCCAACATGAAATCCCACCAAGCTAAGACAGAGGGCAGCCATAAAGTAAGCCGGCCGAGAAACGATGGAGGCACGTCTAGAAGAGAAGCCGGCCTCAGTGAACACAAAACCTGAGGTGGCCCAACAAGAAGAGGTCCCCGTAGAAGGTGCCACAGTGATACTGGTCTGAGAACCTGAAAAAAAAATGATGTCGAGAGATGGAGGCATGTCTAGAAGAAGAGCAAACCTCTGTGGACAATAAACCTGAGGCGGCAGAACGAGAGGTCCCTGTAGAAGACACCGACGTAATGCCAGTCAGAGAACCGAAGAAGAAAAGGTGTAGGGACTGAAAACCTGCAGCGGAGCGCCACTGTCAGAAACAGAAAAATTCAACACGGGAAAATTGTGGACCCCAGAAGAAACTGGCCGTCAATCACAGAGGGGCAACAGAAAGTGGCACGGAAAACGCCAATAGATCAGAAGATGTCCCGTCATGCAACAGTGGCAAAATGCAAAAGAGACATCATAAAGTCATACCTTACCCAGGAAAAGTGCCACCCACGGAGAGAACTGGTCGCATCTAGAGCTAGGATGACCCACCATGCAGGAGTGGCACGGTGCAAGGATAATGCTGTTGGGAAAGTTCGTGCCATGGACAAGGTCATACGAGGAACCCGGAAAGGATGGACACACGGAGGGAGACAACAGATGAACCAGGAAAGCAACAATCTGACCATGAACCGAGACGTTGAGGAGCAGCTACGACTTGGAAGTGAGAGGACAACAAACGAGAGCTACAGGAAGGCCATCAGGCTGGAAATCATGAAGCAGGCAGCAGGAAATTCCAGTAGGTTACCGAAAATGAGGAAATGGAACTTGTGGAGGGGTTGACCACCTCCAAAATTGAAAAAGATACTGCAAGCAGAGGAGGAACCGGTAATGAGAAAAATCAGCCTCCCCGGCGTGAATGAACGACGAATGAATGTGAAACAAGGGATCAACGAACACTGGACCATGGAGTTGCTCGGGACGAACAATCTTAAGAAGGGAGTGGAGGATGTAACAGCCAGAGAATAGTCACTGCAAGAGGAGTAGCCAAAGCATAGCCTCGGAAAGAAAGGACTGGTGATGCACTGTTAGGCAATTCGGGATGAACAGCCTTTAGAAGGGAGCAGTGTGACATGTCTAACCGCTGCTGGGCAACAGGAGGTGGAACGAGTTACCATGAAGACAGACCCTTGATAAACGGTTGGCTGCCAGTTTACGCAACAGTAAGAAAAGCGATGTTTCTCCATACCGTGCCGAGTAGAGCCGAGCCAAAGCACACTGGTTGCTATGAAGCAATAAACAACTCTTGGCAGCATTGCCCAGCAACACCTGTAAACATGGCGATTACGCAACAGGAAAGCATTTTCCGCTGTCCGACTGAGGGTTTATAAGAGTTACCTGAGAGAGACTAACCATTCAGTTTCAATCTAGCAGTCGCCGAGTCGGGTTGTATCGAGTGCATGGAGAAGTATTTGTGATACTGCCAATGGCAGTAGTTGGGAAATTGTGAATTGTGTAATTGTGAGAGCAAGTTTTCAATAAATTCGCTACATCCAAGACGGCATGAAGTTATTTGTCACGTTATTCACCCAACACATGACAATATACAATCAGTAAACAGGAGACGCCTATTCATGTGATTTCAACCTATGCAGATTTCATATTAAAATGATTTCATGTGATTTTAGTGCAGGCTATACAATAATGAAATTGTCTAAAACAGAGGAAAATTAGGATCTGTAAACAGCTAACATGAACAGTATTTAAGTAAACTCGGTTTCATTGGAAATTAAAGACACTGACACCAAAGGGGTTTAAGAGAATTTTGAGCTCTATGACCAACTTGGGAGGGCACCTATCATGTATGTCAGAGAATATCTGTACACTGATTCCACATTAATTACAAATCAGTCGGCACTTATCAATTTCTCAAGAGTCTGCACCATGGAGTTAGTTATTTACAACCTGCAAAATGAAATTTCCAATCAGAAATTTCATTCAAATTATCCTATTATAGGAGTAGCACTGACCTGAACAGGTTTCAGAGCAGCAAGCTGACTTTTCAAAGCATCACCAATCCACCTATAAATCTCAATCACCATTATTTTTCCTTCCTCTCTAACACCTTTATCTCTGTCTTCTAGCAGCACAGGTATCTTCTTTATTAATGGTTTTATGTTTACAACCTTTGGGCCAAATTCCCTATGAACAAAATTCTTAGTGTTACACACGAATTCAATACTTTGTTAAAAAGAATTCAAGTCAAATTCTACCAATTCCAACTTATGTCAATAGCAAACATTTCATGGGTGTGTTTGCAGCTCTGTAAAGTGACTACTAAAATCACTTGATCTTTCCATCTGCATGCATGGACATGACTACAGAATCGCTCAATGGAATTTCATTATATGTCATACAGGTGAATTTTAATAAAGTTTGAATTCAAATTTTAGTTAAAAATTGACAATTTGCATAAAGACCTAGACACACTTCTCTGCATATCTCAAATATAATACTAAATATTTACTGAAGCAAAAAGTGTTTCAAACAAAAGCTGCAGAGAAAAATTAAACACACATTTTATTTCAAATACTTTTTCCATAAGTGCTACAATTTTCAAAACAGTTTTATGTTATGCACACATTTCCTAACTTGTATACTTCAAAATCAACAAGCCTTCTGAACCAACCCACTTGTTATGTATGTCTCTTACTCTTGACAATACATCAAAGCATCATCCTACCTGAATTTATAGGTCTACATGGCTTTAGAGTTCAACAAAATCAGATATTATTCTTTTGGTTTTAACGCAGTGCTCTATTACAATATGACTTTGAAGCATGCATACTTAAACTATTTTCTTTTAGTGTGTATATCAGTGAACACTGAAGATTTAATGTTGACTGTTAATTAATTCCACATATTTTCTCTTCTTCACAGCATCTGGACAGGCTCTGGGGTCCACCCGGCCTCGTACACAATGGGGAGTGTTGGGGCTCTTTCCCAGGTAAAGTGGCCAGGGCATGAAGCTGACAACTCAACTCCAACCAGTGCTGAGGTCAAGAAAACATGGATCTACACATCCACTCCCCCATATGTCTTCGTGGAGCAGTGCTTAATTGGTTGAGCAAAGGGATTTTACTTCTTTCTTACTTCACAGTTGACTCTGACCAATTTGAGTAAGTATCAACTAACTGATTACCTACATGTGAATATAACATCTGCTTATTGTAAGGGACTAGTTCACCACCTTAATTATTCAGTTTATCCAAAATAAGGCATCTCTAGAATTATATAGTATCATTTCCCTTTTTCATACTGACTACATTTTCTTTTTTGTGTAACTAATAAGAAAAGGATGGTTGTTAGCAAGTCACTTATAATTAATTCCTTCACCCAAATATACCTGCAAAGTGCACACTGAATACTTCTGTAATTTCACTTTCTCTTTAAAATGCTATTGAAGTCTAGACCTTATATAATGAAAATTACAAATAAGTAGACATTAATTCAGAAATAATAACATCTCATTGAGTTTCCACACACATTCTTCTAAATCACAGAGAAGTGTCAGAGAAATTCCCCATCCAGATACCAAATATTATAAAATCACAACTGACTGAAAATTGATTATTTTTATCAATTATGAAGTTAAATGATGAAATTTCATCAACTGTAATTATAAAGTTACAAATGAGAGACAATATGTGGTTGCTGCCATTATATTACTTGTAATATTGTACCAAAAGTTAAGATTATGTACTGTCAACATATGGTACAAAAATCATACATGACAAACTGAAAGGTATGTTGGAATGGAAATGGTAAATTCTGGATACCACCCCAGCATTTGCCCAGTGCGACTAAAGAAAACCATTAGTACCATACAATTCTCTATACAAACAAACAAAACAAACTCCGTGGCTTGCAGTCAGCAAGCGAACTATACCGACTGAGCAACCACTGCTTCTTGGCAAAGTTAGTGCCAACTTTAGTGGATAGAAGGTGTCACGTGGTCAGCGCAACGAATCCCCATGGCCATTAGTTTCGGTTTTCTAGACTGGAGCCACTATTTCCTTGAAATAGCTCCTCAATTATCCTCATGAGGTTGAGTGGACCCCGTTCCAGACCCACTACTTCTCAGAAAATCTGGTAGAGCCGGGAATAGAACGCGGACCTCTGGATCTGTAGGCAGGAACTCTGACCAATAGACCACAGAGGCAGTCAACATCAAATACAAGCAGTGCTCAGGATAGTGAATTTTCTATTAACAGTACTTCAAAATAAGCAACTGACAAGATACCGTAATGCACAGCACCCTCAAAGTACAAGATACTGACAACTACCAACAATTAAAATGTAACCATACCTAAGAGCTTGTGTGATTACTGATACACAAGCGGCAACAATTTTTGGATTTTTATGCTCCATTCCTTTCAAGATCTCCTCCTGAACAGCTTCATACTTTTCAATTTCTATATACATAAGCATGATCTGAACAGCCAGTTCCCTTGTTTTTGCTTTTTGTGCAGCAACACACTTGGCAATAACTCCAGACATAACTTCCCGAACAGTTCTGCAACCAAATAATAAAGTGTGACGCCATATAGTACAGTACAGAATTTCAGAGGAACACACTTCCTCCATCTTCATAATAATGTGTAACAACATAAATCATACTGTCCTACTACACACCATACACACACAATCTTCCAGTACTACAATATGTACTATGCTAATGTTGTATCTATATATTACAGGTTTATAAGCTAACATTAAAATGCAATTCACTTCACTGATTAGCATGTTCACACACACCTGATCATAGTACTGAATACTACTCAACTTCAAATTTTTTGTACGCAATTGTCAATCCTGCTGCTGCTGCAGTGGCAGGGGTGGAGGTGGTGGTGGTGGTTGTAGTAGTAGTAGTAGTAGTAGTAGCAGCAGCAGCAGCAGCAGCAGCAGTAGTAGTAGTAGTAGTAGTAGTAGTAGTAGTAGCAGCAGTAGTAGTAGTAGTAGTAGTAGTAGTAGTAGTAGTAGTAGTAGTAGTAGTAGTAGTAGTAGTAGTAGTAGCAGCAGCATTTTATTTTTGGAATTACTCATTACTTAAGTACATTAAATATGTCACATTAACTCCAAAGTTTCACACTGCCACCATATTTTTAACTGCTTATGTTTCTCACGCAATTTGTACAACTGTTTATGTTTAACTAGATATAAAATTTCATATTCCTAGCTCCAATAGTCCATTATTAATCACTGTCAAACTAAAAGCAAAATAAAATTTCACACATGACGACCATGTTCTTCTACATTCAGCCCCCTGCATCCTAAAGATGGACACAGAAAGTTTCTCCAAAACACTGATATCTACCTACCAAACTATAGTGTCACATCCCAGAAGACCAAAATCAATACTCTAAGAGCAGAGCATATTTTACCCCTTTATTCTTCCCAGCATAAAAGAATGCAATAAAAATTAAAAGGATCCTGCAGCTTCTAATACAGTGAAACATCCTACAACCTTGCAAGATTTGTGGTTTTCACGGTGGTAACTATGAAGAACGCAGTCTTCTGGGATTTGGCAACATGTAGATATTGTGTTAAGTGACGTTTCAGGGGAATGTATCACCTCCATCTTCAGGGTAGAAGAAAGAAGAAGAAAATCCGTGACCGAGGAACCAGCGTGAGCAGGTGCTAACAGATTAATTTCAAGAATAAACTCAGCTGGACTCTTCATCCTACAACCTTATTTAGAATTTAAATACCTAAGAACTGGGCAAATGGCACCATGAACTAGTCTTAAATGGAACAGGAAGGTTCAACGTTAATTAATTTACTAACTTCCACAAATGTCCTTACCTTCCAGAAACAGCGCAGTTCTCAATAAAGGCAAGAACAGCTTCCAGGCCCTTTTCCTGTGCAACTGCATTGCTGTCAACAACAAACTTCTGAACAAGACCTACAAACTTGTTGAATTCAGGAGACTTTTCGTCATCAATTTGCCGGAATACTTTAGCTGCTTCTTCATAACCATGCACTCTTGCTTTCCAGAGCTGAAAAGAATGTTATGAATGAGTAACATTTTCCTTCTTGAACAAAATAACAAGTTATATAAAAAACACAAAATACCTTATGAACACAGCGGTCTTCTACTGGCAATTTCACATACTCTGTATCATCCTCCATTCCAAGCTTGATTCAGCTGATCACAGAACCATTTACCTGAAATTAAGAATTACAAGATTGGCCCAACAGTTTTCATGTTACACATTCAGTCCAAAATACTGTTAATATAAGGAACATTTTCAAAACAGCTACAGAATTGCACTACATTTACTGGAATAGCAAACATTAAGAAGTGTTATTATGAAGATATATGACGACCGAAGATAATGCTCCACTCATTCCTAACCTCAGCACTGGATGGAAGTGGTTTTGTACACTGTCAGTATCTGAACTATACAGCATTAAATGGTAGAATGACTGGTGAAAGATGAATTGGAAAAGATTTTGAAGGAAATGATCCTGACCAAATTGAGGTACTACCCTAGAATTTTCAGAGGGACTGAGCAAAACCTCATAAACCTCAGTCATGACATACAGTATCCTGACCATGATTCTAAGCACCTCCACAATACAAGTCTAGAGCAAAGCCACTACACCTGCCACCTCACTGGAAATGAGTGGCCATCTTCACACTTATCACTTTACCTCCAGTGAAAGAACCCTGATGCCCACTGGATATGAGGCTCAAGGGTCTGGATGCACAAATCGAATACCAATTCCACTGCAGTCCAATGCATAGAATAACTTTACTGAAGAAGCAACTCAGGCAGAACTTCATAACAACCACTGGAAGAACTTCAAATTCTAGACAGTAAGTATACTGACAGAATTATCCTTTATTAAAACATATTTATTCATCTTACAAGTGCCTGTGCTCCTCATAATTTTAGCCACTGATGACAGTTCCCTTTTATGTTCTTAAAAGGGCTATGTACCACTTTTGTGTGTCAAAATCACTGAAAGCAGCAAGTCTTCTGAACTACTTATGTCATAAAAATCAGATTTATTGTACCCGTGGCTGGGATGAATTTGGATATTTCATGGCATTTCTTTCACCATCACATAAATTGATAAACAGTGATATTTACTTCCATAAATACTGTGCTGTTTCACACAAAAAGTAATTAATATGACAAAATACAACAGAAGATGGATGGCAGAAGTGAAGTTTTTATTTGATGTGGTGCAGTTACAGTAACCTTTAGAGTGTTATCACTGTTTGCGGTTGTAAGGTGTTATAGTTACAGTAAGAGTGTGTTACAACTAATTGTAGTTCCGCCTGGTGAATATCCAATAAATTGATTCATCTAATCCGGTACCCTTTAATTACTTGTCACGTTACCAGGATACGTGACATTACGTTATTAATACAAATTTCCTTAAAAAATCATAATTTTTGTCATTTGAACATGAGAAGACATAAAAATATAGAAAGACACAATTTACTGGTAGTGTAAATGATGTCTTCCTTTAAAATAAGCACATACAGATTATTACTCTTACTGTAGCACTAAGGTTGGAGTCTTTGACGAGTCAATAATTTTAAACATTGCCAAAAGAGGTAAAATAGGCAAAAGCAGTGAAAAATATTTTCCATGGATTAAGAGAACCCTATATATTTTATTCTACTACATTCAAAAATATTTCCACAACTAAAATGATTCAAATAAAAATTACTACTACATTATTCTCAGGTCAATCAGCAAAGCTGTACTAAAGTGTGCTGTAGTTATAATTTCAGCTCTCACTCAAGGGATTATGAGGAGAGGAACAGAGGCTGCCTGGACACTACTCATGTGTCCCTCTCTTCTATTATCTATGGTACTTCATCTAACAATACCATGCAAAGGAGCTTAGGGTCAATGTTTTCTGCTACGTATTATTTGCCATGGCTTACTGAGATGGTTTCCAGTGCAAGAGGCAAGGGGTGAAGTTTTCAAAGAAACTAACATGGGCAGTACTGATTCACATTATGTATAAAATTGGTCCATCCTTTCGTAGTTTTACTATCATCAATACTTAATACAGTAATAATGATTTGATAACATTTTATGAACAAGAAATAAACTGGATGTGTTTAATTATTTCGTTTAATTCTCTTAACAGAAATCACAATTACTTCTTGCATATTTGCTTTCATTTTCATCTCTAATTCAGCAGTACTGCATTGGAATTTTATCTGAGAGGAACCCAAGTCAAGGACCAGCCATCCTGAAAGCCATCCTGTTTTCATTCAAACTAACCACTCACAAACATCTACACATATCTGATTCACATTTTACAATCAAGGAAGTATTAATTTTTGTAATTACTATACAAATAAACACAAAAACATGTACCATTCATGATCAAAAGGCTTAATGTGTTCACCGCAAAACCTTTTCACGTTAAAAGTGTTATGGTGACAAATGTGATACGAGGTTCTCACTGTGGTGACTAAGGATTTCTGTCTTCTCCCATGTGTTTTGGTAGATACATACTTAACAAACATTCCCAACACAATTATCTGCATATGGTGATAAAGCTGCCATACTTATAAAGCAATAAACTCCACTATTCCAGCTTTCAGCCATCATGTCACCACATAATGTATCTAATACTTCTGATCCATATATCATAAAACTGCTACTGCAATGGTAAAAATTCAAACAAAAACCTTTAACCTAGAGGAAATTAAAATACTTAGGCCCTGTGCAATTCTTCCCTCACTGAGCATGTATTTGTTACTTTCAGCTGACTACATAATCTGAACATCAGCTTACAGGACAAAGGATCAAAAAAACAACTGCATGAATTGAGGTCTTCTTCAAACATCTCTTGAATTCAGAAAGGATCTAATAACTGCACATCAAATTTCTTGAAAATAATACATCTTTCATCACGTTTTAAACCTTTAATTAGCTATAATGTGTTACAACAGTGACCAAGAAATGCATATAATTCTAATGTTGGTACTGCAAGCAGTAAACAACACCCGACAGCTTTGCTAGGCTATCGGCAAACACGACGTTATGCAACAGTGGTGCCTATTACATAACTGTTTTCTGTGTTGTCCATAACAAGGCTAAATAAGGAGCAGCAAACACTATTCAACAGCAGTTACCAGTCAGTATCCAGTCAGTAGCTAGCTAGTTTATGAGTAGCAGTTACTAGTGAATGAGTTACTAGAGAGAGTAACCAGTCAATAGCTGTCTATCTTTCGTAGGAGTATTTGTGATACTGCCAATGGCAATAAGGTTGAGACTGTAAATTGAGTGATTGTAAGAGCGAATGTGCAATAAATTCATTATATTGAATACGGTGTGAAGTTATTTGTCGCGACAATTTGGTGTCAGAATTGTTTACAAACTTCAACATGCCTCGACGAATAATTGAACTTACGAGTGCATCACGTACTATATTTCCGCAAAATGGACTCCCAGCAGATGATGGAACTCCTGCTGAAAGAGATGAAGACCATGCAAAAAAAATTGGAAAAAAGACAAAGAAGATTTAATGGCCAAATTAGACATCGACCGAGATAAGGTAGACGCAGACTCGAAAGCCTGGCGAGAACAGATGGCACCAGAAAGAAGAGCTATCCAAGCAGAGACGAAAGCCATTGAAGCAAGGACGGCCGCCATGCGAGAGAAGAGATTGAAAGCCAACATGAATGCCTGGCAGGAAGAGACGACAGCCTGCCAAGAAGAAAAGCCGGCCTCAGTGGACACGAAACCTGCGGTGGCACAACAAGAAGAGGTCCCCATAGTGATACCGGTGAGAGTGATGATGGCCTGCCGAGAAATGGAGGCACGTCCAGAAGAAGAGCTGGCCTCAGTGGACAGGAAACCTGAGGCAGCAGAACAACAAGACGTACCTGTAGAAGACACTGAAGTAATGCTGGTCGGAGAATCGAAGAAGAAAAGGCGTAGGGACCGAAATCAGCGAAAAATGAAGAATTCGACACAGGAAAATTGTGGACCCCAGAAGAAGTTGGCCGTAACCCGCGGAGGGATGAGCCGCAGTGTGAAGTGGCATGACAGAAGAAAACCAGCAGGAAGGTGTCCCACTATGCAACAGTGGCATTGCTCAACAGGAACATCTTCAGGAAATCTTCGACCCACAGAAAGTGTAGACCGAGGAAAGAAGTGACCGCCACCGGAATAAAGATTCACGCTGTGCAGGACACAGGCGTATGGGACGGAACGCATACAATGTTGAACAAGAAACCTGGAAAGGAAGAACTGGAATAAAGAACACAGGCGGCAGACAGCCGCTATGCCAGAAGAAAAAGGTGACAACCAAGGACACTATCAGAGGGCGTAGATCAGGACAGCGATCACACCTAGGAGGGAGAAGTACTCGTAAGAAGACCTTCTACAAGATTGTTGGCAGGAAGATCGCAAAGCAAACTACCGGATCTTCTGTCAGATTACGACAAAACAAGGAATGGAACTTATGGAGGGATAGGCCCCCTCCAAAGAGGAAAAAGAAACAATGGATAGAGGAGGAACCAGTAATGTTGAAGTACCGGCTTCCCGAGAAAGAGTGAATGTGCGATGGATGAATGTGATACAACTGGATCTTCTTGCAAGTTACCAGGAAACCGCTCGAGACGAGCTGGTCTTAAGAGGGGAGTGGTTGTAACGGAAGGAGAACAGTCGCTGCAGAGGAGTAGCCGAAACAACAGGAGAGACAGCAAGCACAGCAACAGGAAGAAAAAGGAACGGGGATGTACAGTTAGGCTGTTCGGGATGAACAACCTTTAGAAGGGAGCAGTGTGATGTGGATGGTGTAGTGGGAGGTGGGAGTCGCGTGAATTCTGTGATCTCGCGAGTGACGTCACATACCCCCACTCCGTCCATCAGTGTGCAACGCTTGGTAGACACCCCTTTCCCTGTGGTGACGTAACATGAGACGCTGCAGTTGCTACATAGCCAAAAACAACTCCAAGCATCGCTGCCCAGCAACACCTTTGTAAACATGGTGGGGAGTCCGTGCAACGACTGTTCCTAGGCAGTCAGTAAACACGACGTTACGCAACAGTGGTGCCTATTATGTAACTGTTTTCTGCGTTGTCCGTAACGGGGCTAAATAAGGAGCAGCAAACACTATTTAACAGTTAGTTATGAGTTAGCCGGGGAGTCAGCAGTCAGTCAGTCAGGCAGTCACTGTGTGAGCAGGAGTGACATAGTGCGGATGGAACAGTTGCCAAATTCAGTGGTAGCAGAACGAAGAATACCGGAACGTGTGATTAAGAAGTGATAGTGTGAGAAGCAGATGCTTGGCTCACAAGAGAAGTATTGGGAGTGTGTAATACAGTGACATTGGTATAGCTCCCGTATCGTACAGTAAATATGTGTAGACTACTGAGGACAGAGTGGACAAAATAGTGTGTAGGGTTTGTAAATTGTGCAAACCCGTAACAGCGTTATAATTAATTGTAGTTACGATCTGTAGGTTGTTAAATAAACCAATTAACAATCTGAATGGCATCTTCAGTGGCAAAACACTTTACAATATTTTATAGTACTGCAAACATTTGCTTTGTTGATTTGTTATATTTACATTACTAAAGTCAATGGAAAAGTTGGCATCACACTCACGAACAAATAAAAATATGTAAGATCTGAAGCTTTCAGAGGAATGGAAAGCTTATGTCTCCTTGGAAGATCAGCCATGTCAGTATGGAACAGATTTTCATCTCCTCAAGGCAGAGTCTCTGAAATATTGGCAATATGAAATTTGAACACTTCAATTTTGGTAGTGGTCAAAATGGAATATGAAGTTCTTCCTTATTCCAAATAAAATTAAAGAGTTTATGGAACTCAGAACATAATGTTTCACCTCCTACTTGAATCAGTTCTGTTGGAATTTGATTACTACCTGCCAATTTATACTTTTTCTACTGTGTAGCAGCAATTTTAATCTTAAATGGACTACAGCTAAGCTGTATACATTTTGATCTGCTTAATAACACACATTCAACAGCTGGGAGAAATAATTCTTCCACCTATTCAAAATAATGTGGGAATCAGCATGTAGATCACTGTTCTCACACTTTACCATGCAAGCTTAAGGTTGACAAGCCTTCTTAAATTCATTTATACCTTCATGTAAGTCTCTAATTCACTTGTTCTTACTATGTATTGCAAGCTCATTAATTTTGTTTTTCAGATAAACACTTTTAACTGAACAAATCATTTTTCAAAAACTCTTCACAATATACAAGGTGTAGTATAAAAGATTATTAACGCTGTCCAGTGTGACTGAAAAGCGTTTTTTTTTTCTTCATCCTTGACATGTTTCGGTCAGAGTGACTATTTTCAGAAGGACATATCAATGCGTGCAGAAACTACTATTACAATGTGATTGGTCATTATCTGTACATACAGACACCAATATTACAATGTCATGAATATGAAATATTAGACTTTAACAATTACAGTGATGTGTATGAATCTATTAAAATATTTAAAAATTATTATAATTAGTCTATTTATGAGTATGGTTTAAAAACTTTGTTAAACTAGAACCAGTCTGGTTCATGTCTTTTATACTGCTTCTCTTTAAAGCAATGTTATGATTCTGTTGTTTGAAGAATAGAATTCTTTAGTGTTGTCCAGTTGTTCGGGCCACACTGTGTTGTACTGATAATGCCCAATCACAATGTAATAGTAGTTTCCACATGTATTGATATGTTCTTCTGAAGATGGTAACTCTGACCAAATCAGGTCAAGGATGAACAATTAAAGAATAAAAAACATTTATCAATCATGCTGGATGGCATTAATAATCTTTTATACTATTACTACTGTGATGGACCAGGATGAACCAAGTCAAATACAAGGTGTAATTTCTACGAGATTACATGCAATGAACACATTTTCAATTACAGAACTATTATGCTTATTTTGGACTCTATCCATCATCTGGTATATAGAAGACAAGGAAACCACAGCGTTTCGGAGACTGGATCTGTCTTCGTCCTCAGGTGGATGAGGCAGGATAAACCTACTCAGTCGGGCCCATTAGAAAGAGCTAGTCTCAATCAGTGTCCAGTTACATTGTCAGTGAGTCCAGTGATTGAGACTAGCTCTTTCTAGTGGGCCCAACTGAGTAGGTTTATCCTGTTCCATCCACCTGAGGATGGAGACAGATCCAGTCTCCGAAACGTTGTGGTTTTTGTCTTCTAAATATCAGACGATGGACAGAGTCCGAAATAAGCCTAATAGTTCTGTACAGCATACATCACCGTCAGAATTCTTTCAAGGCTACATTTTCAATTGTTATAACTGGGTGGGTTGGTCTAGCTTTATATTCAAGATACACTGGCTATCCTCATTGAAAATTTCCATGCTTACCTTCAGTCCCCTTAAGCAAACATGAGGTTAGTATCTTGATTAGGAAAAAACCACTTCCTTTCTTTTATGGATCACATAGATTCCCTAAAAAATCTACAGAACATATGAATCGTAACACTGTGAGGAGTTGGGACAGCTCAGTCAGTACAGCTACAGGCTATGGGCTGGATGACCTAGGTTCGACTCATGGCAAGGCAAGATTGTTTTCTTCTCCACAGCGTCCAGGCCAGGGGCGTTTTCCACAGAGGTAGAGCGGCCGAGGAAAGAAACTGACAACACACCTCCATCTAATACCGAGGTCAAGGATGGTGGGGCTATATCTCTACTCCACCATATGTCTTCATTCTGCTTAATTATATATGCAAAGAGACAACTTAACCTAACACCGTATGAGATTATACACAATGCACACATTTTCAAGTGATATGGTTGGAATGGCTGAGTTAGACCTACTTTCGGGAGGTACTAGGTTCGCGTCTCAATATTGACACTGGTTACCCATCGATGTTCCTTGTGATTTTGCCCGGTCCCTCTTGGCAAATGACAGGTTAGTACCTCAATTAGGCCATAACAGCTTCCTTCCCAATTCATCCTTTATCTTACTATTCAACGCTTTAGTTTAGATACTGACAGTGTCGTAAATTAAACAATAGCCAAATAAGTATTACAGACGAACAACAATTTTTCTGAACTAGTTTATACTGCTGCCTGAGCTCATTGGCATGAGGATCGTCCCGCTGTCATTCGCCTTCTTTTATAGCTCCAGTTGTTAAATCATCACTCCCTTATAATTTATAAATAACAGTTTACCGTCTGTTAAATCAGCTGATATACGTAAAGAAAATAAACTGTAAAAAGAGATCGATGATCAATTATACAAAACACACTTCTAACCCAACACTCAACTGCCCCAACTTGCTACCATCTATGAAACATACCAGACAATATGTATGCGCTATGTGTACTCAACAACACACAGTTACCTCAAAGTCCACCAATACGATTTCAAATGCCATCCGTTATAGAACACCATCATCCTATTGGCTCAATGCTTCCTACATTGAACGGTGAACCGGAAGCCCAGTCGCGTTTGAACGCCATAATTCGTTTATTTCTGTGTTACGTGCTTTTTAGAAATGATTCAGTATATAACTGTTCAATTTAACAGCAGGAAAATACATATTGAATTACAATGTATTATATTAATTTCGAGCATACAGACGGAACTAAGCTTCTCCTGACCACTAATTATTGTTTAAAATACCGCCAAAATATTCGTCGAAATGTAAAGTACAGTGTATCAATACAAACGTGAATATCTACAAAATCACGCAGTCCATAGACAATTTATACATAAGCAAGAACTTTTCGCTTTCAATTACGAGGGGATTTAAATGTAAATGTTACAACTAGAAGTGAATGTTTAGCTTGTAAAATTCTGATCATCGCCTATATATTCTATCTAATAAGTGAATTTTCTGACTACTGCATATAATGTAGTTTGGATGGATAGTTTTTAATTCATTATGAATTCATTCATTCATGGAGCAGAGTCCTTGAGAAGCTGCCAATTGTGCAGCTACTCAAGAACTTACCAGCATCTTATGGAACTCGAAAGTGCATTACTGTGATCACTAAATCCCTCCAATTGTCCCTATCCTGAGCCAGATCAATCCAAGCCATCCCATCCTATCTCTCTAAGATCCATTCTAATATTGTTCACACCTACGTCTTCGTCTTCCCAGTGGTCTCCTTCCTTCTGGATTTCCAACCAATATCCTATATACATTCCTCCTCGCCCCAATTCATGCTACCTGCCCTGCCCATCTCATCCTCCTTGTCTTGATCATTCTAATTAAACTTCGAGAAGAGTACAAGTTATGAAGCTCCTCACGCAATTTTCTCCGACCTCCTATCACTTCATATCTCTTCGGTCCGAATATTCTCTTCAACACCCTCGGCCTATGTTCCTACCCTAAAGTCACAGACCAGGTTTCACTTCCATACAGAACTACAGGCAAAATTATAGTCTTATGTATTCCAACATTTATGTTTTTAGATAGCAGACAAGAAGACAAAAGTTTCTGAACTGAATGGTGGCAAGCATTACCCAGGTTCAATCTCCTCTTAATTTCCTCCTGAATCAGGTTTTGATTTGTTAAAGCCATTCACAAATATCTGAATTGTGCCACATTTTCAAAACATGTGTTACCTATCTTTATGTCATGATTTTGCCCTGCATTTTATTCACGAGATAGCAACATATACTTACTTTTCTTTATGTTTACTTTTAGACCAACTTCCTTACTAGCCTCAATTAAAGTTTGTGTAATTCTCTTTATGGTATCTATATTATCTCCCAGTAGATTCACAACATCAGCAAAGACCAAGAGCTGATGTGTCCCATTTAATTTCAGTCCCACATGGTTTCCTTTGGACCTTCCTAATGACATATTCTAAAGCAATGGAGATAAAGCATCTCCTTGTGTTAGACCATTCTGGATAAGAAAATTATTAGACAGATGTTTACCTATATGGACTTTACCATATGTTACGTTTAAGCACATTTAAATCAGCCTGACTAGTTTCATGGGTATCCCAAACTCTATCAGAATATTGTACAATATTTCCCTCCTAACTGAATCATAGGCTTTCATGACGTCTACAAATAACTGATGTACTGTCTAATTATACTACCATTTTTTCTCCAGTATCTGACTAACGCAAAAGATCTGGTCAGTAGTTGAGCTGTTGCGTCAAAACCCACGCTGATGATCACCAATAATTTCATTGATGTATGGGCTTAACCTTGAGAGAAGAATGCTGGATAAAATTTTGTTTGAAGTTGATGGCAGTGATATCCCCCAGTAATTACTGCTGTCAATTTTGTCACACTTTTTGTGAACTGGTACAATAATATATTCCTTCCACTGATCAGGCAATTTTTCCTTATTCCAATAGAATTAATTAGCTTATGGATCTTAGAACATAATAGTTGTATTTCACCTCCTGCTTGAATAAGTTCTGCCAGAATTTGATTAATACCTGGTGATTTATACCTTTTCAAATTTTGCAATAGCAGTTTCAACCTCCAGAGGTCTAGGATCAGGTACTAACAGCTCAGCTGTATGTATTTCTATCTGCCTAACATAACTGACCCTATGTACATTCAACAGCTGAGAGTAATAGTTCTTCCACCTATTCAAAATGTTGTGGGAATCTGCAAGCAGATCACAATTCTCATCCTTCGCTAAGTTACTTCTAGGTTGGTAACCCCTCATAAAGTCATTTATTCATAATGTTGTATTTTAGCGTCCTGTTGCACTGATTTTCGTCCATGATATATATACAGTGTCCGTCTTGCAGTGCATCCACTTTTACCTGTCACTTTACAACACCCGCAGCCAAAAAGGGAACACAAGACACGATACACACTCCATACAAGAGGAACGACTCCCATAGTGGAGGAACCATGCATGGGTTTTGAATTGGAACAGATAAGATGAATATCTTAACAAGATTTTAGTATACAGAAAATTTATTATAACTGATGAATATTTTAAAATACTTTTTAAATAATTTTACCTTGCAATGCAATAGATTAGTGTAAATGGAGCACCTGATGATGGCACTATGGTGCCGAAACATGTTGTGAAGTGACAGGTAAAAGTGGATGCACTGCAAGACGGACACTGTATATATATCATGGTCATTTATTCCTCTATACAGGTCTTTAATTGTGTTGTTTTTACTGTTCATTGCAAGCTCATCAATTTTGTCTTCCAGATATCCCCTCTTTATTCCTGAAATGGCTAATGCTTTCACATCTTATATTGTTCAGATTATCCTCATTTATTTCTCTTGGATCTTGTAATCATTGTAATTTGGCTTGTTTTCTTTGGTCTGATTATTTTGAGCATCCTTCGTTGAACCATGGCTTATGCTTCTTCGGTTCATAATAACCTAGACTCTCCTTAGCAGAAATATTTATATTCTCTCTAATAGTTTCCCAAGCTTTATTAACATCCACCTCAGTGTCTAAATTTTCCAAAGCTGCGAACCTATTTGAGATTTCAACACAATACTGCTTTTTACCCTCTACCTCAGCCCTGTCCAATGCGGCGCCCTCCATAAGCACATATAATTGAACCGATTTTTAATATTAATTCAAATTGTAAAATGAGACATTTTTGAACGTCTGAGTACTGTTAAATATTTTCACAAAATTTCCTTGAAGCATGGTACAGTATTAAACATTCCTTGAAAAATATGCCTATTTCTTTTCTCCCTTGCTAACAACACCAGTCTTAATTCCTTTTCACTAGAGAAACCGCCGTCCTCTCAAGATCAGGTAATTTTCCCCCCTCAAACAGCCACAAGTCCCCACTGAATCGGCTTTCATGGATTTCGGATTTATGGTCAGGGTACAATAAAATTTTCTTTGATTGGCAGGGCAAACATATTCACAGACACAAATATGACTATAGGGCCCAGCTTAATGTAATTTCCCCAATTTCTAAACTCATCGGCAATATGAATCAAAGTTACTTTAATCCCAACAAAGCGATGCCGCAAACAATAAGAAGTTATTAAGAGGGTCGTACACTAATGGAAATTGGTGGCAGCTATATTTCCCAGTTCGCTTTCTTCAGCCAAATATTCAGTATTACTTGCGAGTTTGTGACGACCATAGTTCAGTTATTATGTGTCTTGTGTTGTGACAAGTTACACAGTTATCAGTGTATTTTAGTTATTGTACTTCAAATTGTTGAGTAAATAAGTGGTACTATTTTATATAGCTATTCTTGATATGGCTGAAAGACAAAGAAGTTATAGTTTCAACAGTGGATGGGAGGAGCAGTATTGAATACAGAGGAAAACCTGTGTGTTTATTGTGTAGTGGTAGCGTGTCTGTTCCTAAAAAAAGTAATGTAGAGCAACATTTTTTGACTAACCATAGAAGCTTCAACAATGAATTTCCTGTGAAATCTGAACTAAGAAAACAAAAGGTGAAAGACCAAAAATCTAAATTAACCTTGCAACAATGTGTATTTACAAAGCCTATCCAGCAAAGTAGTAATGTAACAATAGCCTCTTATAAAATCTGACATGTGTTAGCTAAAAGGAAAAAACCTTTCAGTGATGGGAAAATAGTTAAAGAAGCCATGATCAGTGCCAGCGAGTCTCTGTTCGATGGTCACAAAGATAAATCTGCACTTATGACTTCCATCAGAGGACTTCAGTTGTGTCACAAAACTGTTGCTAGACGAGTTGAACAGATTTCTGATAATCTGGAATCTCAAATACATCAGGATTTGCAATCGTGTGAATATTTTTCACTCCAGCTTGATGAAAGCACTGATATATCGGATGTTGCACAATTATGTGTATTTGTTAGAATGGTTTTTGGCGATTTTACGGTAAGGGAAGAGTTCGTTAAACTGCTGCCACTTCATGAACATACTAGGGGAGAAGACATAATGAATGTGTCCTTTAATTTGTGAAAGAATGTAACTTACTACTTTCAAAACTTGTTGCTATAACTACAGATGGGGTGCCTTCAATTGCTGGTAGGAACAATGGGTTCCTTGCTCTTTGTGCTAAGGATGAATCATTTCCCAGTGTTCTTTCTTATCGCTGCATTACCACCAGGAAGCTTTATGCGCAAAGGTTTTGAAGTTCGACCATGTTATGAATGTAGTAACTCGTGTGGTAAATTATATCAGATCGTCTTCTACTCGTTATCGATTGTTCAGAAATCTTTTGAGTGTGTCGGACACTGAGCATGGTGACATAATTTTCCATGCAGACATAAGGTGGCTTAGTAGGGGGAAAACACTGGAATGATTTTGCTGTGTTCTGGATAAGGTCAGGGACTTTCTGAGATCATCTCCTGGCGAATATTATCAAGAACTTGATGAAATATGGCTAC